TTCACGAATATCTCGGCATTCGTTTTCCCATTTGCCCGTGTATTTGCGCAATTTATGCTTTCGCCTACGTGCACTAGACATACCGTGCCACTTTTTAGCCGTAACTTTGTAGCTCTCTTCGAGTGTGGTGTCCAAATCACGGCTTGTTGTTGATCTTGACACTTTGGCACCCGGATCATCACCGATAATCTTTTTTATTTGGCCAGCATCAAATGCAGCTCGAATAGCAGCTGGACATTGTGGCGGTGCTCTGTTATACGTTTGGCCTTTCTTGCCCATTTTGCTTTTGCTTTTGCTTTTGCTTTTGCTTTTGCTCTTTGTTTGGTCCGGTACACCCGATACAAGTGGATCACGTTTTCGACGAATCATTCGAACGCATACTGTTACACCATCGGTAGTAAAAGAATTAGCGAATATTTGATTCCCTCGATTTATTTTCTTTAAATTGACATATTTGTCCCAAAATGTATCGTAATCGTCGTCGCTCCAATGTGGTATGCGATTTTTATTCACAATTTCAGCACTTCTATATGAATGCAGTAGGTTTGTGATTTCAACAAAACCTTGCGTATGGAATCGCACATGTTTTCGCTTGTTCTTTGGTTGCGGAATGGCACGAAATGTTCTCCATTTGACTTCATTTTCCGGATTTAAATTGTGTTGGTGAATAAATCGCTGCAAATTTATCAATTCATAGACGTGTTTATAGTATATCTTTTCGTCTGTCATTGTGTTCAACCATCCACGTGGAATGACATGATCGTCGTCCTCTGGATCAATTTCGTACTGCTCGATACGGTCCAGTGGTAATAATGGACGCAATTCGTTGTAATAGTCGTCCAGATGTCCACGAATATTACCATTCAACTCGATTTCCGAACGCTCATCAATCAAATATTCCATCAACACATCGACTTCCTCTTCCACAATATTTTTACGCAAAAAATATTTTCTGATGTGACTTGGGCCATGCATATTGACATTGTTTTTCATGTTGATTGCTCATTCCTACTATTGTCGTATGTCGTCTCGGCGTTGTTGTCGTTCTCGTCATCGTTGTTCCGATTGGTTCCGATGCGATTGATGCATTGTATTACCAACACTACTACCAAATCTCAATTTTTCAACAATCTGTGTGTTTGCTGAATCAGCGCAATTTTTTTGTGTTTGTTTGTGTGCCACACACCATACAAACCATACAAACCATATTATAATTTGACTTTCTTAAATTCTATTTTATGTTATTTGATTTTAAATGAAATTCAATTTAGGACAATATTTGAAAGAATGGGAATAGAAATGGGATGGTAATGGGTCTGTAATGGAATAGTAATTTTTAAGTGAGCAAACCTTGCCGTTTTCCCATCCGATTTTCCAGCATTTGAATCTTCATTTCGAGTTGGCGCAGTCTATGGCGGGCATCGGTCAATTCATTATAGCTAGATTTAAGTTCACCGTCAACTTCAATGTTTGGATGAAGGCTACGCATGGCGTGTTTTTGTTGCTTACTTGTTATCAAAGACGAGTATTTATTCGAATCAAAACTATAGATAAGTTCCTCACTCATGAGTGACTTATATAAACAAAAAACTGTAAATACAAAAAAATAAAATCATTTTAAATTATATCATCGATGGAACGTGGGTCTAATGCTAGCTCTAATGCAATGAACGTGCTTATCAATCGCTGAAAATGTGAGGTTATGCATTTGGTAAGGTTTAGTTTTTCTTTATCATCACATTCCGAACACAATTGATAAAGCGATAAAATGGATAAATATAAATATGATTGCACTTCAATTAAACTGCATAAAGAAATGAATAATGCCAAAAATATACGGTTAACACTTACCTAAAATAATGATAACGCCAAAAATAAAAAAATGTTTCATTTTGCGTTTCGAAAAAATGACTTTCATGCTAGAAAAAATGATTGCAAAATTGAATAGCATCACAAAGGCGTATTTTTGTTGAAAAGAAAAAACTCAAGTAGATCTAATGCTTTAGTATCGAATCACAATTTGTATGAATTTTTTTTGTAAATATTTTATCGTTAATTGAAAGTGTTTATGCCATCGCTGGCAAACGCCATCGTTTATCAAAGTCCCTTTACTGCTCTGTAAACCGTTTATTTCAACTCAACTTGTCAATTTGCGCATTTTTATCAAACACAAACATTAATTTCTTCAATTGATCACTTTATTTGAAAATTATTTTGATTTTTTGGACAGTTGCAGTTATGTCCGCCACATAAGCTCAACACACTAAGTAAGTTAAACTAGTAACAGCTGTATAACAATACGAAAAGAAATGACATTGAAAACATCGCTGAATGTCGGTTGTTCAACGAAAAAAAAGCAAAAAAATAAACGAAATCGAAAGAAAGTCACAATCGAGAGTGTATTAAACTTGTTTGACTAAATGTCAACATGAGAAAAAAGTTTTTGTTTTCTTTTTCGACGTAATAAATACTGCGCGAAAATGTGCACACCGTATGTTAGTCTTGGATTGAACGAAACGTCATTGCCACGCAGTGTTCACTGTATATATGATGACAACAACACAACAATACTTTATATACATTTATTGGAACGAAATCTTAACGAACACTGAACGTACACATACACATACACAATATTCTCCTTCATCCAAGAATAAACAAGAAACAAATCAACAATTGTGCATTTTTCTTATCAATTTTTGTGTTTTGATTTTTCTATTCAAATTAAACTGTGTGGGGTATTAAACATATGCTGAATAAATGCAAAGTCACACTAATTAAGTAGATAGACGGTATTTTTGATTGAGTTATTTGTGTCACAGCGGCATTTATATTCTTTTGAATCTTACACGACCTTTTTCTTCTCTCTTTCTCTCGTTTATGTATTGATATCCCCATATTTATTTGCAATTGCAAATAGAATGGTTGCATGACACATCATATATTTGTGCTGCTGTGCTTCAAGAAAATAAAAAATATTCGCCTCTTCGAACTGTCAAATGTTAGTTGTGGTTGATATTACGTTGTGATCATCGACGTTTCAATAAAATCATTTAATTTTTATGCTAAAATCGTTTGTAAAAGCAAGTAAGTATCGATTTAAATAGAATTAAAAACGATATTGACATTATTTTGTATTGTTTTGTGTTTATGTTGGATAAATAACAATTTCTCAATCAAATTTTTTTTTCATGGGTAAAAGGTAAATTTAAATGGCTGAAATCAATTATTGGTACTTCGGAATACCAGCTGCAAGTATAGCGGTAATTTATATTATTCGACGAATTCGTGTCTGGCAATGGGGACGTATCAGTGATCGTTATTCTTTGGAGGGTAAAACCTTTATAGTCACCGGTGCGAATACAGGACTGGGTTTCGAAACAACAAAAGCGTTAATAAAACGTGATGCAATCGTTATAATGGCATGCCGAAGTATTTCACGCGCAGAAGAAGCAATGAAAAAAATCCAAAAAGAAACAAGTAAAGGTCGTATGATTCCGTTACATTTGGATTTGGCGTCGTTTGAATCGATCTATGATTTTGTGCAAAATATCAAAACGAATTATCCAACGTTTAATTGTTTGATCAACAACGCTGGTCTGGCAATGCCTGATAGTAAAAAGAAAACCGACGATGGTATCGAATTGCATTTTGGCACCAATCATATAGGTCATTTCTTGTTGACACGACTGCTTCAGGATCGTATTAAGACTAATCGGGCTCGTGTTGTGATTGTTTCATCGCTGTTACATGAGAAAGGTGAAATCAATTTCAATACCATAGGCAAGGTCGTGGAAGAAACTGAAGCCTCTTCGATTTCCCGAACAAACAATCCATTCTACAACAATTCAAAGTTGGCCAACTTTTATCATGCTCGAGAATTGTTCAAATCTGGTTATGACGCGCATGTTTTGTGTCCAGGTTTATGTCACACAGATTTCTTCCGTGATTATAATCCTCGTTGGTATCATTACGTCATATTTTCGCCAATTGTTTGGCTTCTTTTACGATCAGCCGAACAAGGAGCCGAAAATATTGTATATTGTGCTACAGCCAATCAAAATACGGATGAAAAAAATCCGGCTACCGGCTATTTTGTTCGCAATCTTAAACAAACCAAATCGAAAGTAAAATTTGATGATCAAATTGGTGCACGGCTTTGGAAGGAAAGTGAAATAATCTGCTCAAGCATTTTAGTGCGTGAAGAGAGAAAAAATGAGCGTCAGTACCAAGGTATAAGTACTGAAAATACAGATTGTGGCTATAACTATAGCAGTGGTATTTACGGTACTTATGCGTTGGACACAACTAGCGCCTGTGAATAGGAACCGCACACAACCTACTGATATAGTTGTAGGCACAATCTATTCTTTTTATTTTTGCTTAAAAATTAATTAAGAATTGCTATCCAACTATTTCCATTCTTTTCTATGTCGTTCACCCCCAGTTCGGAACGTTCATACCGACAGGAAGAAGGATGATTTTCTTCTTGACATGCTGCGACAGTGTCAGGATGCAGGAATAGGACTGAAGATGAACTAATGGTTAGGCGCTGGTCACAAAGCAATTTTATACACAATACTTTTTATTCGGAGTGGATCTTATTTTCATTTTCTAGAACTTATTATCTTTTTAATTGATAACATTGCATTGCTTAAAAACGGTTTGAAACTAACATTGTACGCTAAACGAAGGTGAAATAAAAAATACCGTTAGCATATCATATACAAAATCAATTCGGTATTTCATTTCTCATTTACAACACATACCCATTACACACACACTACCACAGATACACACCACTTGTACATTCAACAAAAATGTCAAAATCGCAAAACGATGAGCATATTCATTTCAGAATAGCAGCGCACAGCATACGTACGCATCATTTTACTGTATAAAGACGTAATTCCGTTTTTTCTTGAAAAAGAAAGGAATGAGATTTTTTAAAAAAAAAGTATTGAATTCATCTACTCGTTTTTGCGTAAAGAAAATAAAGTTTGATGAAAACGATGCAATAAATTTTTCAGTTTGTGCTGCTGTAGTTTAGGAAAAAAAACTTCGAACTATCTAACGGTGTCGGAATATTAAAATTAACTGTAATCGACGACTGAAGAAACTCAGTAAAATTTTGCGCCAAAATCGGTCACAAAAGCAAGTAAGTATAGCTTCTAACACTAAATTGAAAATAATATCCGCAAATTTCAACTGATTTTTTTTAAAGATAAAACAAAGTGAGGACAATAAGGGAATCAGTTTTTACAATCAATGCTCAAAAATGAACAACGTCACTCAATCGACTGAATGGTACCACGATGAGGACACCCTCCGATATGGTACTGCTGCTTTCGTACTTTTTGTTACAATGATTGTTACTGCTATTCGATATGTGATCAAACAAAGAAGTGTTAATGAATTGAAACGTCTAAGAAATCTCTCTTTGGCTCGTAAAATCTATATAATTACCGGCGCCAATAGAGGGATTGGTTTTGAAACAGCCAAATTGTTAGTTCAACGTAATGCAACCGTTATAATGGCATGCAGAAGTCTTGCACGCGCCGAAAAAGCAATAAAAAAAATCAAAGCGGAAACTGGTAAAAATTGCTTATTAATTATTATCGATTGTTTTACAATTATTTTTCGATTATTTTAAATTAATTCGATACTTTTCTTTTGTGATTCTCCCCTTAGGTAAAGGCCGTATGATTCCGTTTAAATTGGATTTGGAAAAGTTTGAAACAATCGTTAATTTTGCAAAATTTATCAAGAGAGATTTTCCAAAATTCGATTGTTTGATCAACAATGCTGGCGTGTCAAAACCCACGGGTTTGAAGACGACGATTAATTATGTCGAACTGCACTATGGAACAAACTATTTGGGACATTTTTTTTTGACACGATTACTTCTAAATGGAATTATAGCCAATTCGGCTCGTGTTGTCATCGTTTCATCACTGTTTCATGAGGACTGTGACTTCGATGTAGATACATTATGCTTGTGCGCATTTGAAGAACCCTATTCCCCCAAATGGGGCAATGAATACTACATTAGATCGAAATTTGCAAACTTTTACCACGCTCACTCTTTGACCCAACTGAAGATTGATACTGTTGTATATTGCCCAGGGTATATGAGAACAAATTTCATCAGTGATTATATTCCTCGCTGGTATAACATCATTTGTGCCCCATTTATTTGGATAGGTGCACAGACGGCTGCATATGGTGCGAAAAATATTATTTTTTGTGCTACTGAAGTTCAGAATACGGATGAGGAAAATCCGGCTAACGGTTATTATATTGACAGTATGGATGTAGAACTGTCAAAAGCATATTTTGATGAAGAAGAAGCAAAAGAGCTTTGGGATCAGAGCGAAGCAATGTGTGACAGTGTTTTAAATTATGAAATGAACATCATAAAAGCATCAAAAAATGGTTTTTTCGATAGCATTTTTTCAAGACAAGCGACTGGACAACGCGCTCATGCAGGAAGCAGAACGTTATTTGACGATGAAACTCAACTTTAATTTAATCATTATACGCTTTAGGGAAATAAAAAAAAATCATAAACATTTCAATCACTAAAACATATCTGATGCATTTATCTTTCATTTGCATTCAATCAATTTATTTATAGATTTTCTAAGGACGAAAAAAATGAACGAAAAGGAAACAAAATAATTGTGTTAGAAAAAAATGTTTAATAATTAATAGCTGTCTTCTTACAATTTTTGTATAAAAATACAATGTGAACTTTAATAAATGCCAACATCTCTACATTTTCATGAGATTCTTCATTTTGTTACACTTGAATGAGATTCGGATCAAGTTTTACTTCGAATTTAAGTAATTTAGCGTATTTACGTAGTAACTTTCGCCAGTAGCAATGAACATCTTTCATTTTAAGATGCTCCCAAATATGGTTTTGGCCCCGTTCGGCAATTTCTTTGGCCAAATGATCGTGTTCCTTGAAAAAATTTAATAGTTTTCGCAATTCATCAGTACTTGGATTCTTAGCGACGGGAATGAAATGCACCCATGGCTTTAATGAGTCATAAAAAAATTCTTGCCACTCATCGCCAACGTGAAATACAAGTGATTTACATAGGAACAAATGCTTAAAACGAAAACTAGCCGCCACACCACGAAAATTAAAGAGATATTTATATTGACAATGATCTTCTAGCGAAATTTCCTTGGCCGGTTCAGCGTTTAGAGTGTCTTTCGGTGATTTCCATGCTTGATTTTTTGTGTATTGAGCATCAACGAGATCTGGATCTTCCCTTGAAAGTAAAACGAGTGGGTCACGTTCTGGAAAAGAGCGAAATATTAAATTGATTTTCTTCCATAAAAAGTGTTGTGCTATGACTATGTTTTGTTATGAGTATTCGTTACTAGTTCAGTGTTGCAATGAATAATTACCTGATGAAGTTCGTGATCCCCGGAAAAAACCCTGCGATTTCTTTTCGGACCATGGCCATACATGTGACGCATCATTTATTGATTTTCGATGTTGGTCCCATCTTCCAAGACCGGTTGGATAGAGTGAAATGGCGGGTCCGCCAGCCCAAAAACTCCATGCCGGATACATGATGTCCAAATAGTCATCCGTACGGCTAAATGAAAATACTGGACCGAAGTTATGCTGGAAAACACCATGCAGAGGTGTAAATATGGGAAATTGATTCGGGCGAGTGTTTATACAACAATACTTACATGATGCGTGTTTATTTGTGGCCAATCACGACAATTCACAATCATCTCAAGGTCCGGAATTTTTTGAATGTTTTCCTTTAAAAAGTACTCAATGCCAGCACACCGTGATGGAAACAAACAGCTTGGATCACGATAAATTTTCTTGTCAATAATTTGATACTTTGTCCCATACTGTCGCACCGTGTCAATCATCTTTTTTGTAATACCATTTTTAAATGGTTGTAATGCTTTGGTTATAGTCCCCGCATGACACCCACAATTTTTCTCAACACAAGGCTGATAATCGGCGATTGCTTTATTGATTTTCGTTATATACTCATTCGATTCTAAACATAAAATATTCATTCGGTAATTAATAAAAAAAAAAAATAATCATTTGGTAATTACGCGTTGAAGGTTTTTACTCACCTCTACTGTACATATTCACATTTTTATGTGAATCTCCATTTTCACGCGTAAGCGTGCAGGTATTAGTGTCTGTACAATCATTTTCTTTCGATAAAATCACTTTAGCAAATAACAAGTAAGCGTAAAAAACGTTTTTCATATTAAATTTTAGCGGAATGTGTATTATGGAATGCGGCGTATACGCCAACAAATGAGACGCTTTCATCGTTGTCACTAGAACGATTGTAAACAATTTCCAGTCTTTATACACCGCCGTCTATACATGTGTGACATTTCTCACGCTGGAATGTTATGTTCAGTTCATTTTTTATCGTTCAAACTGAACGAAACATGAAGATATGCTTTACTTAACCACGAAATACAAAACTGTTTTTTTTTTTAATTATCGTGCATGAATATTTTATTTTGATCATTTTTATGAAACTTTTAAATCCTATCTGTGTCTGTTTTATTATAAAGATCAAAATCTATTCTTAGTCATCATCATCCACATCACCGCCAGTAATCTGTCGTTTGGTTTCGTCTTCATCTGAAATATGAAAAAATCGATATTTTTTTTCACAAGAATTCATATATTTTGCTTGAAAAATGTCACTCAAATGATCTTACCGTCGTCCATATGCTTTCGTTTGCTGTGTGAAATTACTACGCCTCCGGGTTTATTGTTTTGTTTATCTTCTTCTACCAATGTGGTTAGGAATTCATTGGACGAATCTTTTGTCTTTTGTAGCGCGTTCAATAATCCAGTAACATCCTTTTCGTCGACTGTCACATCTTCTGTGAATTTTTTTATTGGCCTACCTAAGGGGAGAATCACAAAAGAAAAGAATAAAATTTAAAATAATCGATAAGTAATCGGAAAATAATCGAAAAATAATCGTAAAACAATCAATAATAATTAAAAAGTAATTTTTAAGTGATTTGCCCCTAGGGCCTACCATTCTGAGTAACACTCATTTCCACTGTTGCAAATGTTCGGCTCATTTTATACTTTTTTCTGGTCAAATTTTTTCTGGTCTTAGTGTTACAAAAAAAATTCTATGTTGTTTTGTTCGAAACTGAAATATCCAAAGAACGTGAACGAAATGTCAAAAAAAAACTCAACGAAAATTCCGATGAACAGACCACCAACTGTCATACTCACGCACTGACATTTCAGACCCTAACGCCTTCTACATTGAAAGAATTTATTTGTTGTAATACACGAAAAATCGCTGTACATTCCTATTGCACATATTGTGTTGAAATTTACAAAGACGAAAAAAAAATTATGTCATCTAATGCGTTGACAGCCGAACAACCAGTCGAAAGTATAAAGAAATTCAAATTTTATACTAAAGGTGATAGCGAAGAGATAGAAATTTCTATACCCGAGGTAAATACGATTTTTGGATTAATCTCAAAATAATTTATCAACACAAATATGGTGTAGATGCATTTGTATGAAATGCGTAAGACGAGTAGCACAAGCTAACCAACAAAAAAAATTTCTTCATATTTTTTTACAGCTTTTGCAACCCGGTTATTCATTTTACAGTTGGCCAGCTTCTTCGGTGCTTGCTTGGTGAGAAAATAAATCTATTTTTTTTTTTAAATCTAAAAAACCGTGTTAATTAATAATTTTTGAAAATCGATAGGTTTTTATGGATACAGCGTGATAAATTTGTAGGCAAGCGAATATTAGAAATTGGTTGTGGAACCGCACTACCTGGCATCTTGTTGGCAAAACTCGGAAATTGTGCAAAAGTCATCATAAGTGATAGTTGTACATTACCAAACGCATTGAAACACGTACATCGATGTTGTGCGGCGAATAATTTGGAACCTGGAAAAGATATTGACGTGATCGGCTTAACGTGGGGCATTCTTCTGAAATCGGTTTTTGATATAGCACCACTCGACTATATCATCGCATCTGATTGTTTCTATGATCCAAGTGTCTTCGAAGATATTTTAGTTACCGTTTCATTTTTATTGAGCACAGCCACCGATACGACACCAGTAAAATTTCTCTTCACCTACCAAGATCGCTCATCTGACTGGTCAATTGAACATTTGCTGCAAAAGTGGGATTTAAAGTGTTCGAAAGTTAGCTTGTCGTGTGTACGAAAATATTGTCCGCTTGAAATTGACGACTTAATGTGTGGTCATACGATTCACTTATTAGAAATTACCAAGTTGCCATAGATAATAGAATTTTCTGGAAGAAATTATTTTTTTAAGCATTTAAATAGAAAAAGTAAGCAAAATGAATACCAGATTAATTTTGCTACCAAGACTGAACTATATTCGAATGTTTAGCAGTTCAAAAATTGATCCAAAAGAAAGATTATCGTTATATGTGTCCGATTTGCCATGGACTGTTAGTACTCGAGAACTTGAACATTATTTTTCGAAATTTGGCACAGTTATAGCCGCAAAAGTGGCTTTTAATTATGAAACTGGATTCTCGAAAGGCATTGGTTTTGTCCGATTTTCAGCTGTACAAGCATATTCGAAAGCACTAAAAGCAGAAGCTCACGTGATCGATGGAAAGACGATTCGTATTGTTACAGAATCGAAAGAATTAAGAGCGGTACAAAAATCCGTTATGCCTCAAGAAAAACCAGAAGAAGAAATCGAAGAAAAATAGAGTATCCTAATTTTGATGTTGTAATCAATAGAAAATTTATGAACACCTAATAAAAAACACTTTTTTAAACAAATTACAGTCTCTATTATTTCCATTGGTCGATGTGTTCTTTCTTAGATAGACTTATGAAAATGATAAAAATATGATCGCATGGAGTTTAAATGTGACCGCAGATTACTTAATAACCACATTTTCATTTGATTTGGCCGCATATCATTTTGTGTGTGTAAGCGTGAATAATGAATAAATAAACATTAGTTATGTATTAAATTAATTCAATTGTAAATGACATGATACCATGCTATAGCAATATATCTAAACGACTCAGATAAAATATCGTGTTTTTTAATGTAATTTTATAGTCAGAATTTTGTTTTTTTATTTAAAAATATCTTTGACTTTCAATATTTATAATTCTATCTTAAAATAATTACAGACTTTAAGTTTTTTTACGTTGTGTGTCAATGAGAACTTTTCCCAGGCACTTTTTTAAATTCACAAATTGTACCGCTTTATTTATGTCCCGCATATTCCACACTTGGCTCACAAATGGATCGATTTTCTCATTTGCGTGCAAGTCAAAGGCTTGATTTACAATCTTTTCGTAAAACTCACGATCATCAATTTGATACTTTGTTATGTTTACTTGTTTTACGCGTGAAGCCCAATCAATATTTTCCTCTTCTTCAATTTCTTCGATTGTTGCTTTCTTCTTTTTTTGTTTACCGGTATCTTTCTTAAAATAGGGCGCTTCAAATGTTTCTGGCGAAAAGAATGTGTCCGTAGTGAGAAAATATCCATTCGATGAAATGCTGTTGAACAAAAAAAAAGACAGAATTTGAAAACTGTTTCACATCATATATAAAAATTGCGTCAGATTTTATTACTCACAAGTCAGATACAACATGTAGCATTTTTGAATCGTATGTATCAAAAACGCCTTTGAATTGCTTCGATCCGAGTGTATTCTTGAAGAAATTGTACACTTTTGTGAGTCCGACATTATAATTTATTGCCTTAAATGCTGATTCGTCTCTGACAAGACCATCAATTGATTTACTGGCAAAGACAACATGAACATTGGCTTTAAAAATATTATGTGCAATTTCAATGGCAGCCAATCCATCACCTATCCAATATGAAGAGAGTATAAGACAAATTCATTTGTTGTTCAATTTGATTTATAAAATATCTTCTCACCGCCAGGTCCAGCAAGGATTATAATATCATCGCCCTCTTTGATTGGTGCATACTTTGTAAATGCAAGCAATGCGTTTGAATAGCCCTGAACGATGGTTGCCGCATCTTTTTGTGATACACGCGGGTCGATGTGAATGCACTCAGTTTCTGGTACAAAGCATTGATGTGACACTCCTCCTCCAATATGTTTGTCACCTAATCAAATGGCCAATAAAAATCAAGTTTAAGGCACCACTTTACGAGAACATAACCTCATTTTTACCTAAAACCGCAACTTTATCGCCAATTTTAAATTTGCCCTTACAACTTGGTCCGATTTCAAGAATTTCACCGCTAAATTCACTACCTGGTATAAATGGCAAGGTCACCGTGCTAATATCTTCATAAATACACCTCACATCATGATTGTTTATTGCACAATAATCAATGCCGACACGAACCTAATTTTAACAAAATAGAACATTTACTTTTTCTTTCACATAAACAAATGGTGTGCACGCTCAATATTCATTATATGCAATTGAATTTATTGTTCGAACCATGCCATCGGCCGCTGTTTCAGGTAACACCAGTGTTTCAATGGACAAATTTGTTTTTTTCGGATGTAAAACTGCTGCTTTGAATTGTTCCGTGTCATCAAGGTTAGGTGACTTGGTGGTTAAGTTTGAACGACATGCACTTATCGATGTTTTCACATATTTTTCCAATAAATGCGATGCACTTTGGTATAAATTTAATCGCTGACATTGCAACCGCAGCGTATGCATTTTAAAATCGATTGTTTACTCGCCTTGACTGAGAAATAACCACTGAGACAATTTTTGACAGCAATACACAACGACGATAACGCCACAGACGTTTCAACGACACAATGTCATATTGGTTTTATACAAACATCTGATATTTATAGATTATTTATGAACGTATCAAAGTTTTACGATTTTCAAATCAAGATAATTGAATGAAAACAAGCATAATGTTACAGTGTTACTACGTCAATAAAATAGATTTTTATTTATTCCATTTTAGGTACAACAATTTTCTTGTTATTTTGTCATTTTTAAAATTGCTTAATTAGATTCCAATCTATGTTACCCGTACTAAAATCCTTAACAAGGGATTTATATACAAACGGCGATGTAAAAAACAAAGTTTCATATTTTCATGCATTTTCTAAAAATAATATTGTGTTTGGTTTTTTTTATGGTGACATTGTTTGTTCAATTATCAAATGCAGGTAGCCCGAATAATTCTGGTTTAAAATCTTCTAAAGAATTTACGACAAGTGTTGCTTCTTTGCGCATTTCAGCTGTAACATAATCCTCTGGCACCATAACAACTTGGCAATTGGCAGCAACAGCAGCTTTTACGCCGTTCGGTGCATCTTCAAATACCAAACATTTGCTCGGACTTGGTTGGTCGGGAAAACGACGAGCGGCCACAATGAAAATATCCGGAGCTGGTTTTCCATGTAGAACCTCTGGATCGCTTGATCCATACACCTTTTAATTAACAAAGAAAAAGATTTATTTTTTCAGTCAACACAAACAAATGGTTTGCACGCTTAATATTATTTATAAGCACCTTGTGATCAAATAGTTCAAATAATTTGGTGTGTCGAACAGTTTTCAAGTCGTACATCATTTTGCTGGATGATGTGGCCAATGCAATTGGTACATTGTGCGATGAAAGATGATGCAATAGCTTTTCAACGCCAGGCAATAGTTCAGCCGTTGGCATCAAATTTGAAGCCAGCTCGCGCTGTCTTGCAAGTAATTCATCAACCGTCATTGATAAATTGTACCGTTTTATAATTGCATTTGCCACTTCATTGCTTTGGCCACCCATCAAGGTCACTTTAACGTCGCCCGTATATTTTTCATCGCAACGTTGCTCTTCAAGAATTTGTTTTGTGATTTGTGTATAGATATGTTCTGTATTCAGCAACAAACCATCCATGTCAAAGAGGCAGTGTGTCACTTTTTCAAAACCTTCTGGCATTTTGGAAAATTTCTCTTTTTTACTTGTAATTTATTCAAAAATTGAAAACAATTTTTATTGTTTTCGTTTTTACTTCACTTGAAATGACAATTAAAAATTGTCAATGGCAACGAAATTTTTTCAAAGTTCTTTAGTTAACCTTCGATTTTGCACAAACTTGTTAGAATAAGACAAGTGGAAAATTTCTCCGTCTGAGCTCAGTTGCGACAATTACGCTCCTGTTCACAACTGAAACAAACTGCAAATGAATCAATCATAATCTCATTCATAAACAAATAGCCTATTCAAACCAATCAAGCATATGTACACTTGCACAGAAATGGAAAGAGAGAGAAATACATATACACACACACGTACTACATTCCACCGTCATTCTCTTTTACTCTCTCACCGAACATTTCCGCGTGCGTTCTCTCGCTCTCTCTAAACAATTCTCATCAGCTCCAATTGCTACTTATGGCTACACGTGCACATCTTATGATAATGCATGTCACAAATGACAATGAACTGGAACGTTTTTAACGAATCCGGTTCATCAAGATACCATTTTACCATGTGAAGATAATATTATGGAATTTTTTTAAAAACTTTTTTTGAATCATAAAACTTGTTATAATTCAAGATTTTTGTCATGTTTTTAATGAAAACAAAGGAAAAAATGTATACCGAAGACAAATTGAACGTTTTTTTTTTTCGAATCACTTGAACTGTCATGATTTAGTTCCAAAAATGAACGTGAACGGCGCTGTACGCACAACGTCAACGCATTTTGCCATACTAACCTTCTTTCCGTGCTGAACCATAAGTAGGCAACAACTCAATTGTAAGTTTCTCAAATTTATTTCAAAATCATCGATATTAAATCATCGATAATTTCAAAAAGTTTTCATTGATTTTTCATCAGAAAATCATTTTCTATCGTTGTGTAAAAATCGTTTTTAATATTTGCATAAGATTTTTGGAAAAAATTTAAAACAAAAATTGTTCAACAGAACAAATCTAATTCAGTTTGTATTTCTTCTTTGCAGAAATTAAAATAAAATTTAAAATGGGTAAATACGCTCGTGAACCAGATAACGCAGCCAAAAGCTGCAAATCTCGCGGATCAAACCTTCGTGTGCATTTCAAAGTGAGTATTTTATTGAAAAACTAGAACCCATTTGCCATCAATAAGTCATGTAAATAAATCCATCCGTGTGCAATGTGTTTACAGTAGTGAATTCATTTGACAAGTGTTGTTCAACATAATAAGTGAACATTGTGAATCGAATCTAACTTGAATTCTGTTTTCATTGTAGAATACCCATGAAGCCGCTCAAGCAATCAAGAAAATGCCACTTCGTCGTGCACAACGTTTCCTCAAGAATGTCGTTGACAAGAAGGAATGTGTGCCATACCGTAACTTCAACGGTGGTGTTGGCCGATGTGCTCAAGCCAAACAATGGGGAACAACCCAAGGACGTTGGCCAAAGAAATCAGCTGACTTCTTGCTTCAATTATTGAAGAACGCCGAAAGCAACGCTGAATACAAAGGCTTGGATGTCGACCGATTGGTCATCGACCATATTTTGGTAAGCATTTTACAATAAGTTCAGTGTTTCGGCAATTGTTTAACATTAAAGTTAGTAAACATTTAAAATGCATAGTGTTAACACCTTAAATCAAAAATAGAAGTGACTTTATAAAACAAAAAACTAATGAATGTGTTTGTTGTCGGTAATTCTAGGTTAACAGAGCTCCATGCCTTCGTCGTCGTACATACCGTGCTCATGGTCGTATCAATCCATACATGTCATCGCCATGCCACATCGAAGTTATTTTGTCGGAAAAAGAAGAAGTTGTGGCCAAAGTTGCTGATGACGAACCCAAGAAGAAGTTGTCGAAAAAGAAGTTGCAACGTCAAAAGGAAAAGATGATGCGCAACGAGTAACGAGCTAGTTACATTTTCCCAACAAAATGTATGAATGTGTAATTCATAAAAATAAAGAAAAACAATACCGCATTATTATTTGGTAAATAAGACAAGTGTTTCATTTCATTTTTCAAGGCTTACCCTTTTGAATCAAGTTTTTCTCTTGGTATAGGTTATGTTTATCTTTTTCAGCGGCTCATCAAACAATTTATTTGTTTTTTTAAATTTTAGCTAGACAAATCATCTGCATTAAAGATTGTCATTCAAAATCATAATCAATTAAACATTTTCAGATTTTTCTGCATTTTGAAGATCAAGAGAAGAAAAGTGTGTGTGAGTGTGTGTGTGTGTGTGTGTGTGTGTGTGTGTGTGAGTGTGTGTGCGAGAAAGAGAGAGAGAAAAGATGAACATTTCATGGGCACGTTCATTATGTCGAACTGTCAAAATGAAACCGAAAATGTCTCGACGTTACACATAATGTTTATGTAAAAAGGTTCACACATACACACATACACAAGAGCTCTCTTTATGTACAATACATTTGCCGAATCAATTGAAGCGGTCTATGTAGTAAGTTATTCATACGCACGCACACAAACGTATTACGATTCACATAACTGATTCATACTGTGAACATGTACAGACCAGATTCGATACCAATCAAAAGAAACCAAACAAAAAATGATTGTGTGAAATACGCATCGTCAATATAATTCAGTACAGTGACACTCGAAATACGGAGAACGCATAACAAAAATTACGATTGAATAAACAGTGGTGAAGGTGAACACAATCGAATGAAAATAGTTTTATTTTTCTAGTCGTGTGTACGATGGAATTGCGGCCATTTCGAAATAAGTAATACTATGTGCGAGTGTGTATGAGTGCAATTTTTGCATTTCGCCAATTTGTAAGTGAAGAATTTTCTTATCGTTTATTGCTTGCTGTCAGTGTGTAAATTACTTCATATACATATACACATAACGCAAAAAAAAAATCGTTGGTACGTTTTCATCTTGCTGTCTCACTCTCTTTCCCACCTCATCTCGTCTTGTCTTTCGTGTAAATCGGTGATTTTTCTGCTGTCGTACTCTCTACATCAACCTTACAGACAGTGCAATTGTACGCAGAGTCAGTAGCCATTCATGATTTAAAATAATCGGGAATCGCATTGAGTGACATTTAAATTACAACCATTATAAGTAAAATGTAGACAAATATTGTGTGTGTGGGCAAAGTGCGAAACAAAGAAACAATTACTATATACACATCATCTCTGCGGGAATGTTTTTTTCGGTTTATTTATATTTGCTTGAACACAAAATTGTGATTGGAGACAAGAGTTGACCGAAAAAAAAAATTAAAGTGCAAAGAGACAAGCCAATCAGAAAAGGAAGAATAAACCAGTTTACACAACTTTTTTTGCATGCATTTAACGAATTCAACTGTCGAACAGTATACAGTCCAAAGGTTTCCATTTCTTCACATTCAATCTCTTTTTTTCGTCTCTTGGTTTGTCGTTGGTGTGTAAGTGCGCTGCTACGAAAAGTGAATTTGTAATATTTTAGACATATATTGTGAAGTGTTTTGTGAATCAACACCAAAATACTAATACATCGACATTTTTTGGTTTTATTTATTTTTTGATGGAGAAAAGTTAATCAAATAATTATCGAATAATATAAAATGTGAAACACAATCGCATTTTTATTGATACACAAAAATGAACGATAATCAAAACTGTTAACCTCGTTGTAACACATTTTGAATAAACAAAGTAAATAATTTAGCGTAAAAAGGTACCTACTCAAATATAAAATGGACACGGTTGATGAACCAGAGGAATTATTATTCTCACCAACACCACGAATGGCACACTCATTTTCACCGCCTACGCAATTCAATAGGAATGGGATTCGATACAATGAATTTCGTGAGATTTTAAATACAGCTGTTCAAGCAACACAACATGATCGACCAATGCAGCGTCAATCCGAAATTTTGGGTAATAAATTGTTGATTTTATTGAATTCGGTCAGTTTTTAAAGCGCAAAAAAAATTTACATTCCACACACACTTATTCCCTGAATAATATATAGATGCCGATGATATTTTCGCTGACACCGATAGTATTGATGCCGTACCAAACCCCAGGCCGAATGTTCGGCACAGTCTACGTTATTTGAACTCGATTCAAATATCTGATGATGAAATGGATGCTGTACGTAAAACATATTCTACTCCTTACCTCTTCTTCTCAATTTTTATGTTTTTTCTAACGCAAATACATTCATTTAAATAGCTTTCGAATCAGGCTCAAGCATCAGTTGATGGTGATAATTCAATGCCGCCATCGTTGGCCGAATCAAATTGGACAATGCGTGATCATGGACGACATCATGTAACAATATCGTCGACACCACCCCCGGCGCCTCCACCTCCAATACCAGAAGTATTCATATCGGCCGAACCAAGAGCTCGATCACCAAATTTGACAGCACAAAGACGCATGACACCACCGCCATCATTTTATCCGGACGGATTAAGAGCCGGCTCACCACCATTAAATCCTTGGAATCCCTACTTACGAAGTTATGGCCGAATGTATCATCCATACAACATTGGAGTGAATCAATACGATAGTGCGCCTCGAAATTGGATTGTTTCAAATTCGTCACAACGTTCGATGCCTAACTATCAAACATCTCATGTTCATTTGGTGCCATCATTTCGGTTTGATACTCTGAATACAATGCGACGCGCCTTGTCACGACCACGTTCAAATCGCTCATTTCTTCAGTATTCGGTGGCTGAACGTGAAACCATTGAACAAGATTCGTTTTTTCCAACTTTACCTGTGATTGAAATTAGTTCCGATGAAGAAGAGGCGGCCAGAGCAATACCACTTGAAATCGCTAGGCAAACAAATGTCATAAATTCTGGAATTCAGTCCACTGAAAATGACAGTAATAGCGAAAATACATCGAATCGTTCTCGTGTCGAACCATCGCCAGATAAACGAACCTTGGATGAATCAAATAACTATGGACGCTTTAGACGAAGATCATCGTCAGAAAGCGTTTCATCAACAGGGGAATATCATCGACATCAACACAATCACCACAACCATAACAACCACAGTCACCAACATCATCATCATCATCAACACCGTCATAGCCATGCATCGGACAGCGAATCATCAGCATTGAATTTAAGTAATCGCATGAAACGGCCGCATCATCATTCACCGCCCCAGCAGCCAATGAAACATTGTCGGGGTCATTCACCGCCCCAGCAGCCAAACAAATATATTCGTACAAGTCCACGGTGTGCCGAACTCGATGAATCACATAGTAGCGCTGACGAATCGGATGAGAGAAATAATAAACCAAATGTCAGCCTAATTGATACGGATGTGAAGCCAAGAAGTGCAAATATGTCTCAATCCAACAGCAATGTTGATGATGATACGAAGATTGAGCGAAAAGCCAAAATAAGAATTAAACGTGAATTTAAGACAGAGGCGACCAATAGTGGTAGCGAAAATGTGGAGAACGACGCCGCTGTTGATACCAAAGAGCATTTACAACCACTCATTGCTGGTATCAAACAAGAGTAAGTATATAAATAGACAATTGCATTTTATCGATACTTATAACATCGTTGTTATTTTTTTCTTCATAGAGTAAAACCATCTGTAAATGTTAAAACAGAGACCGCTGGAGACAGTGAAGCCTTGCTGGAACAGCAAAGTGCCGACATACCGGAAAGTGCAAATGTGAGAGTTAAGCAATCACCTCCAAGCAAAGATTTTGAAAATGACCCAGAGGCTGGTCCAAGTGGCTTGCAACCGTCAAAAAATGTCGAAAATAATATGAATCGACGAAGATTGCGGTACCACAATTCAAGTTCCGACGATGACAGTGATGGAGAGAGTACAAGAGTGTGGCGTCCACAAGAAACTTATCTCTACAATCGAAATGCAGAGGATTCGAGCGATACACGGTTTTCGGGGCAATCATGGATCTTTGTATCTGACCCAACTGCTGTATGTGAATCAACACCGTTGTCGGCACACAATCAATCGGATGAGGTCATCGATTTGAGTGAAAACGAATCGCTGCAATCGAGTACACAGAATCCACCAGCAAATACAAACAATGAAAATCGTAGCATTGAAGTGCTAACCGCACCCGATTTACAACTCGATTGGCTCAGTGATTCAAGCAGTGACACGGAAATTGTTTGCATTCGTCCCATGACACCGGATCATGATGATGCTGCATTAAATATGACACAATCAAATTTAAATTCATCGAATGCCGCAAGTGACTCACCCGAATCACCAGAATCACCAATTCTACAAGCTATCGATCTAACCGTATCCGATGACGAAGATATTGGATTACGGGACACAACAACGGATCGATCAAGAATTAATCGCGCACACAATCATTTAATGCATCTTGCACATAATATGTTCGTACGGAATCGTTGTCCGTTAAGAACGATTTCTGAACTAAGGTAAGACAATCAACACATTCCAAAACGCATATTTGGTTTGGTAAAAATTTAAATTTATTTTTCTTTAAACTCTGACAGACCACAATCCAGTCGCAATCAAAATGAATCGTCATCAAACAACAATTCATCTCAAACGGATGGACCACTTCGAAGCGGTGATTTATCTCGACGTGTTAATTTAAATCGTTGTCTGAATCATGTAAATAATCGCGTATATAGTGGACCAGAATGGTATCGGTCAGAAAATTCAAATCAAACGCAGTTCGGTGATTCATCATCGTCGTCAGCAACAGCAGCTACAAATAATCCAACCGCTGTATTTGTACAACAGCCAGAAGAACCAGCTACCCAACCGCCGGCCCTTTCTCCTGAACTTCTCCATTTCGATCAATATCCGCCGACTGCAAATGTCGATTCAAACAATATTCGCGATGCTTCACAAGCATCAGTTTCAGCGTCATTTTCTGCACAAAACAATTCGAATGCACAACGACATCAATCGGCGTCAAGATGCCCATACTATCGACGCACTTCACTTTCGAGCTACCACAATTTACCAAGCCATTATCATTCTACGTTACAAAATGGAAACGGTTATTTACGACCAGCCTATGCACCACATGAGTCTCTTTGGTACCGCCAACAAAATAATCAAGAGGTACATCGACGTCATATGATGAACAGTATGGGTGGTACAAGTGGAACAAATGATTCAACATCATCCAGTTCATTTGGTTCGTTTCCAGGCCGTGTCGGCCCATTAGCATCATCAATTCCAAATAGCTACTGCTTACAATGCGATCAACAGCATCCAGTCGGTCATCCGCATCGTCGAGTTCGACAATATGTGTGCGGTTTAAATTTGGTAAGTTGATTTCCAGACCACAATGTGTGTTTCGAGACAAATTTCACTGGCTATAGCTAATAAATTTTCATCATTTTGTTTACAGAATCCCGATAATCCACCACCTCTTCTTGCAGTACGGTATGTACAATCATAATTTTCATAAAATTCTGATGAGATTTTTTCATGTTCGACAACTTTTTTTTCTATTAATTTTCAGCCGTAACGATCCAAATCAGCACGTTCAAAACCGTGTATCGCACGTACATCATCATATGTATCATCATTATCCAACGGACACAGCATCACCGCCACCACATCAAGTTCATGTCAGCATTGGTGTAAGTATCTATTTATAGTTTTAAAAGATAAATGCACATTGGATGTGAAGCAAATTTTTCATAAAATAATTTGTGTAAACAGTTACGACGAACCGGAGAATATGTGCCAACAGCCATACATCAACCGCATTCATTATATGCAAACAATCGTTTGCGACAATTCAGCCAATTTGTGCGTGTGATCGAAGAAAGTGATATTCAGTTGCAACGTTGCATACGTGGTGCAACACGGGTATGTTTTATTTATGATCATTGTTTTATGAGTAAATGATCCAATTACATTTTTCGAATCAATTTTAGGAAACAATCGAACGCAACACATTTCCACACAAGTACAAGCGTGTACGACGAGAACTGGAAGATGAAGATGGCGGTGAAAAGTGTACGATTTGTTTGTCACTATTTGAAATCGAAAATGATGTGCGACGGCTACCGTGTATGCACTTATTTCATATGGATTGTGTAGATCAATGGCTAGTCACGAATAAACACTGCCCAATTTGTCGTGTGGACATCGAGACACGATTGAATAAAGACATCATAGCTATTTGATATATTTCCCCCGATACCATTAACATTGATATCAATATATCGAAATAAGGTCGATTTTATACAATTTACAAACGAACGTGCAACAAATTTTGATACAATCGAAACAAACAAACAAATTCAATGCCATTTTTTTCTTGTCATATGTTTTTTTTTGTTTAACAAAAATTGAATTTGTGTGCAAAGTCTTCATATTTTCATATACCAAGTAAATACATATATCCCGTTTACAATGTAAGAACATTGGTATATCAAAATAACTAATTTATATTTCATATGCAATAGCAAAATAGATTTTTGCAAGAGAAAAACGAAAAAGTCTATCCAATTATTGAAAGTCGTGGAGCTATCGATATTTAAATAAAAACAAACATGTTTTGCTCCCTTTCTCTCTATCTCTCACTCTTTCTGCCCATTGAATAAATGCACTAAGAAAATGAAAGAAAAAAGTTGTGTGATAGGTAATTATGTTAGTTTCATGAGTTAATTGTACTGTGTTATAGCCAAATTGAATGAAAATTAATAGAACCGTTTCAGATTTGAACAAAAAAAGAGAATGGCCAATTGCCCAAATGATAATGGATTGGCAGAGGCAAAGATAGGAGAGCTGGAGTGAGAGATAGGGGGAATTTTCTGAAAATCTATTTCCTTTTTTTTTTTAAATAGATGATATACAGTGATCAAAATAACGTTAGACATACGTTTTACATTGCAATACACATGAAGAAATAAAACCAAATTAAAATGAGATTCCCAATGATGAAGTAGTTTCTTTGTTTTTCAAATTTTACATTTGGCTTGTAGGTGATGGCCTTAGATGAATTCCATCTCATCGTAAGTAGACATCAACTTTCAATATGAAGAAAATATGGCAAAATCAACAAGAATTGATTGGCGCGTAATTTAAATTCTTTCAAAATTTGAATGTTCCGATTCCCCACTTCGATTCCTCAATTCAAAACCTATATAATTTAAACGTCGAAATAAGTGACAGCGACATATGAAAAAGCAAACATAACCAAACAAATCTGACAATTTAAAATAAATTTCAGCCTTTTAGTAAGAGCAAATGCTTTTAGTGTTGTTTCAACGATGCAGCACTTAAGTAAAATAATTCGACATTCTAAAACAATAAATTTCTACCGGAAATTTACGAATGATTCTAAAACAAGCCGAAAACATTCAGCAAAACCCGTTGCATTGAATATAATTGGTGCCGGATCGCCAAGTGAAGAGGCGTCATTATCTATATCAGTTGAAAATGCGGATAGATATCTTTTCAATTGTGGTGAAGACTCTCATCGGCTTTTCTCTGATCAAAGTAGGAAATTGTCAGATCTAAAACACGTATTTTTTACTCAAAATAAGTGGAATTGCATTGGCGGCATTTCATGTTTAATAAGTGAATTAATTAAGCGACATAGGTGGTTGCCAATGTTTCATGGACCGAAACAGTTGTACAAATGCATTAAACGAATACTATGCTTATCGTGTTTAAGTGAATTAGATTTTCGTCCAATTGATTGTAATCCAAAGAATTTCTTCGAGGATGATACTTTACGTATTGATTTCTTATCGATCAAAGCAAATCCAACGAGTACAATGGATCCACATCCAAGAGATGTGAATGAGGCTCTTACATTTGTGGGTGAAATAAAATCACCCGAATCTGAAGTACCTGCTTATTTTATGGGTACGAGCATGCTTCTATAAACTGATTCAGAAAGATTTAATAAAACGAAACTATTGTATTTGTATAGTTCTTGATCTGCCAACCAAACAGCATTTGGAGGCGTTCGTTGAGAAACACCAACAAGCGGTTGTAGACAAGAAATTCGAAATTATTGTGCACTTTTCAGCCAAGAAAGTCATTGAATACAGTGGTTATAAGCGCCTTTTGTCCAACCTGAACACAAAGAAACATCTGTACTTGAATGGAAACAATGAGTATGATATCATATAAATGGTAATTTGGTTAAGAATTTTGAATTGACTGTGGTTTGTTCCAGGTTTTCGCGCTTAAGGTCAGTATATGAATTACAATTGAAACTGAATCAAATTGATAAAAACGTCCATCCCGCTTTAAAGTAAGTTAATACTTTTAAATTGTGCTACCGATAAATAACACACTTCGTATCGATTCTAGAATGCCGTTGAATGCTTCGACAAAGGCGTGTAACTTGAGCCAAGAAGACAAAAGTGATTCACAAATTTTCTCAAAATACTATCTAACAGGGTCTGGTGAAATTGATAACGATTCGACAAGCAGTAATGATATTACCAGCTATGATTTTGACCACTGCCTTGATATCAATCGTTTGAAGACTTTTCCAAAAATTGTGTTTCTTGGCACTGTATCAGCTGTTCCAACGAAAACACGTAATAATACATCGATTCTTCTTCACACAACGTAAGCAAATTACAATTTCAATCTAACAGACTCTGATACAAACTGAAAAATTCATCTCTTCAAAAATGTATTTTTTTTATTCAAACAAACTTTATACAGAAGGGACGATTCAATGCTAATTGATTGCGGCGAAGGAACTTGTGCCCAAATACATCGTCTTTATGGAAAAGTCGCACCGTCAATTATCCAGAAAATCCGAGGTGTGTTCATATCACACATGCACAATGATCATCATACCGGTTTGATTGAGCTATTACAATTGCGAAAAAAATATCTACCATCAAATCGTTTGCCATTATTAGTGCTTTGTCCCAAATCAGATATGAAATCTTGGTTATTCTTCTATGACAATAACGTTGAACCAATACACGATGATCTTTATTTTATCGACAATGAGAATTTGGTATGAATACTTATTATTTAGTCGTATATTGAAAGAGTTTTAATGGAAAATTTGCTTTCAGATGACCAAAATGTTGTCCGAACGATATTGCAATCAGTTGGGTGTTCATATGCTTCAAACATGTCGAGTGCCACATTCAAATATAACCTATGCTCTTTCGGTGAAAATTGGCCAACAAGGAAATTTCAAATTAACGTTTAGTAGTGATACAACAATAAGTAATAATTTAATAGCGATGGGACGTGATTCTACATTATTAATTCACGAAGCAACCTATCCCGATAAATTTGCAATAAAAGCCGAACAAAATAAACATTGTACTCTATCACAGGCTATCGAACAAAGCCAACAAATGAATGCAAAGTACACAATCCTAACGCATTTCAGTGCTAGATACGGCAATGGCTTTCCATACATTGATAGTGCCAAATACAAAAATATTGGCATTGCATTCGATTTTATGGAATTAATTGAAAACGATTTACACAAATTAAGTTCACTCAACGAGGAATATCAAAAATTATTCAAATGACCAATGATTATTAAAAAAAAAAAAAATTACAAAAAATATAAAAATTAGAAATAAACGTTCGTTCTCTCAGGAGAAATTGTATTCGTATTCATTCACTTGACATATGCTTGTGTCAATTGTTTTCTTCTCAAAAGATGGCAGTGATATGCGATTTTTTGGCAACATTTTTGTAAGATAGCAGCAAGTGGTTTGACATTTGCACTGTGTGGCTATACCGTAAACAAATTTTCAGTTAAGCAAGAATTCGTCAAATAAAACGCATTTAATCGAAGCATCCTAAATAAACATAAGAAAAAACTGATCGTTTTATGATTAATTGCGACTTTACTATTGATTTTCTTGACAATTTGTGTTAAAATTTTCAAACGAAAGCAGATCTCACAAAAAACCGGCTTTAACCAAACAACACAGGGGTTAGGTAAATTATTTGTTATATCGAATTTTCTGGAATGTATCAAAACGTTGCATTGATATATGATAGTGGGAAAAAATGCACTTAAGAAAACTATACAATCAGCTCGAAAAAAAATGATTAATTAATTTTTGTTCTGTAAATAATTTCATATTTTGGTAGTTTTTACGTTGGCAGCAGCAAAAATGTCAGAACGAAATCAACGTCGACGTGGTCTTGATGAAAATGGCAATCACTCTTATATTGATGATATGGCAACAATCAAGCACCCATTGAATTCCAAATGGACGCTTTGGTATTATTTGCCCGATGACAAGAAAACTTGGGAAGAAAATCAGAATAAAATTCATACAGTTACTACCATTGAAGATTTTTGGAGTTTTATCACCCATATAAAGCAACCATCGGAATTGATCGGTGGTGTTGATTATTCGTTTTTCAAAAATAACATTCGTCCAATGTGGGAATCACCGCAAAATGTAAATGGTGGTCGACTAACGGTCACCAATACATCAAAAACACGAAACGATCCACGAGCAGCTGGCATAAATGATATTTGGTTGGACGTATTATTGTTTCTCATCGGTGAAAATTTCGAATATACCGATGACGTGTGCGGCGTGGTATTGAATGTTCGCAAATATGGTTTTAAAATTGCCGTATGGACATCACATCATGAGGAAAACAAAATTCGAGCAATTGGTAACAGCATTAAGAAGAGTTTAAGCCATAAGAGCCCATTCCTGCAGAAGATCACATTCGAAGTACATGCCGAAACGCAACGGAACGCTCAAACCACAGGCCGAGCATCGTCCAAAAATCTGTTTGAAATCTAAACGAAACAATTACAAAATTGTTTTAACATTATTTTTTTAAGTAGGACTCCGAATGAGTCACCAACGTCATTTCAATGAAATGTTTATCTTTCTTTTTTTTTCAGCCGTACCAAGACGGCTAAATAGATTTCAAGATTTATGCTGACAAATTTAAAGTCATCCAAATGAAACTTTCGTTTTCATTTCAAATGAGAAAAGAATAAAATACACCATATTACCAAACAGAATGAACTGTGATTCATGCGCATAAAAAATCGGCTTTCATCAAATACAGTTTTAAAGCATATTTTCTGACAAAGATATCATCCAACTGCAAACGATTAATATTTGTTAAGAGTTCAGGGTTTTCGAGATTATGGATAAATGGCCTCTTTTTATAAATGCAAAATGAATTGCTTAAATAAACGGTATTTTTACACACTTGTCAGATGTGACTACTTAATTATTAAATGGCTTTTTGTTCGAAAAAAATATCGTTGAAGAATAATTACTTGCATTAAGATTATTATTATTCTGAAACATAAAGTAAATGGAGCTTGCACGCATGTGTATCATTTCATACTGAATCATTATTTGTGTATTGAATTAGTATTGCGCGTGGTATTGGTCGGTTTAGTTAAAAAATATTTCTCTTTAAAATGAGATGACGTGGTGCTAATATAAGGCAAGTATATTCAATTATAAGTTAAATATGATCGTGTCAATCAAAAGAAAGTCAAGCCAATAAGAGATAAAAGGGTATCACTTAAAATTATTCGAGAAAAACAAAACTGTTGAGTCCACGTATGCCCAAATAAATCGCAAAGAAAAAGTTGGGGAAAGTCGGCGAAATAATACGATCGCGTTCGTTGATAGAACGTTCCAAATTATTCCACAATGTGATCGAGCATAAAAAAGGAAAAAACAAATAATTGTTTACCAAAAAAAGTTATAGTGTTGTACTTTGGAGTATATTTTTGAAAAACAAGTGACTCATAATAAAAGAAGGTCTTTACAAGTTTGTCCCTATCTTTGAATTGAGCGAAAAAAAAATCAGCTGCTGTTGCATTGGTAAATGTGTTCATCATAACAAACATAACATATGTTTTACACCAAGCGTATAATTTTAAATTTAGCATACATCGTCATATCTCACTAACACATCGACGCTGACAATAACGACAAAGAGCTCTGTCAAATAAAAACAAATACAAAAGAGAGAGTACACTGTACACTGTCGAGCGGTTGTCTGAACTAGTTGCGTTTCATATAAATGTGCCGGCCAATACTTTGAATAGTTCAGTATTTATAAGACATTGAACGAGAACAGAACGAAGTTCGGTGCGATTGACAGTGCTAAAGCCAAAACTAAGCGAAGGAAGCAACGAGAGAATCATAATAAAAAGACGTAGAGGTTATTATTGTTATTTTGTTTTAATACGATTTTTTTTAACCTGAGAAACGAACATCGACGAAGAAAGAGAGATTGTGAGTTTTTAACTTTGCTTCAACATACAATTTTCTCTCGTTCTTTGAAGTGTAAATCAACGATTTTTTTTTAGTGAAAAGAGGCCAACACATCATTCATATCCATTAAATTGTCCAGACATAGAGTTGGCATTTTTTTTTTTCAAAGCAGAATACAGTGAAACATATTTTGAAATCTAATTTGTTTGTAATTTTCGATTTCCGTCACCAGTTTTACATTCGACAAACAACGAACATTGAGCAATAGACAATTTTTTGTTGTTGTTTTGAATTGTTTCGTGGGAATTTTCCATTCCGAAGAGAACAACAATTTTTGATTTGTTTCGTGCACATCTGTGGAAAATGAGGTGCATCTTAACATTCTTGGCCATTGCGTTATTTGCCTGTACGGCATTTGGCTTGGAGTTCGAGTAAGTATACATAATAAAATTTGTTGTATGTTATTATTTATGTTTTCTTTTTCAAACTACTATAACTTGTAAGTTGCTTCAAAAGAACCATTTGAAGTTGTAGTACTGGTTTTTTTTAATTTTGAACCATACAACAAGCACTGCCGATGTAATTAAATGTCAGAGGGTCTGTGTGTCATCTCAAGTAATGCTTTAAGTAACAACTGCAAAAAAAAAACGAACGAAAGACAAAAATAGAATAATAATTGCGTTTCAGGTTCGACAATTTATTTTGACCATAAAACCTCGTTCTTTTTTTTGTTCAAGTTTGGACATACCATGTATTGCGTATTTTCTCTTTGCAACGACAATTCACTACTTGTGATGATATCATCTCTCTCTCTTAACAAAATTAATTCCGGGCGTTTTTTCGTTCCATTCACTGACAATTGATTCATTTACATCAGATCTTTCACCAAATTTTGCTCACTAAAATTGGATCCAATCCAATCAAATTGCGACTTTCGAACGTGAAATTTGCATTTGGCAAATAACATTTGTCATCAAGACAAAGCATTGAGCAGCGATTTCAACAAACAAATCAAGTATGCATGAAGCACCCACGAAACCACAAAACGGCCAAATAAATGAAAATGAAATAAATAAATAAAAACTGTGGTACCATGGAGCAATTGAACATGCATGTGTGAAGAAGTGTTGTAGCACGATCAAAATCTTTATTAGCCATAATATGCTTTATTCTATGGCATAAATAAAGCTCTTCCGTTCCACAAACTGAATTTCAACGCGCGATACTTGGTACATACGATCGTCAGAGCACTAATGGGCTTGATTTCCAAATTATGATGTTGTATATTTAACGCTTTGCGCAAAACGCTTAGCATTGATGTGCAAATTGTACGGCTTTTCCCTCTACATCTCACCCTCTTTCTATCTCTAACTCTTCTTTTTCTCTCTCTCAATGTGTGTAAGTCGTCTGAATATACGTCTAGATAAGCCATGGAACATTCTTGAAAACAGACACTTTGCACAAAAAAACCCACATACATATGGCATCGCGTTTAATTTGATAATGAGAGATTACTTATTTTGTTAGCACCAAAGTTGTTCTGGTCAGTTATTTTTATGGTTGCACGTGTAAAGACGACCAAAAAAGTCTGAATTAACATTGAATTTGTGTGTATGAATGATTTTTCTGGATTTTTCTTCTTTATTTCATTCGAAATTGCGCATGCGCAATTTGATCTGATAAACACAGAACAACAAAGGTCAAGCAAGACATCTGTGTATGAGTTTTATGAGTCTACATAAAATAATAATGTTGCATCAAGTGTGAAGGTAAATTTGCATCTTGAGTCATATGTTTTTTTTTATTCACGGAAGAATAAAAACCATCAACAAAAAGAAGGAAATGTCAAAAATCGAACAAACATTTAAACATTCTATTGCATAGTCAATGGAGTAAAACTACAATTAAATACAATGATTGTGGAACAATTTGTAGTTCAATTACTGGATGCCATCGATGTATTTAACTGTGTGTGTTTTTCTCGCTTAAACTCGTCTCCCATTATTTACGATGCATAAATAAAAACGTAAGCATTGAATTGATGTTTTGAATGGTGTATATGTCGGGTGTGATATTTTCAACGAATAGTGTTGCTGTCATACTAGGCTTGGCTCTTTAAAAAAATAAGACGCAAAAAAATTCTCTTTTCATCTGTTCATCAGCATTAAATACGTTCACAAATTTACTTTTACATTTGTTTAAAATTCAAACATTCACTTCGCGCAAGAAAGACTAAATGATTCTATACAACCGAACAAAAACACTTATTTCTATTGTCTTTTGACCAACACGATTCGTCATTGCGCATCATTTTGTATTGAATATGCATCCGAAAAACGTATTCCGAATGACAAAAAGTGATGGCCGTTTTTGGGGTCTATATCCCTATTGTTTCACTTCTTTGAATCGTATTTAATGTTGATTTGCATTTTTCCGTTGAATTTCAAGTTTATATGCATATAAACAATAACAGCAACAAAAACACACAGCTAGACGGTGCGTATATAATGCATAACCCAAGAAATTTCTTGGTGAAATTATTTATGTTGACCGACCATGTTTGTTCAATATATGCGAAAGCGGAATTTTTTTTCTATTTTCCAACTAAACAAACATTTGGACTAAAAGGTAGCGTTTGTACCACGGTCATACTGAAAATGTTGATGAATATGCGGAACAAAAGAGTTCATAAAGTCAGTCTGGCCAGGTCACCGGAACGATGACAACCACATGAAATAAAACAATATAAATAGAAAGATAACGGTGTTGCCACATCCATTTTTATGAATATTTTCAACGGTTTTTAACATGATCTGGCCGATTCTAAATGAGAATGTTGGCATTTTTTTTAGCACAAAACAATGACGACAATTTTATTGTTGGTTGAATTTTATTTGCGTTATTTCCAAACAAAACATCAATTGCAATGGTTTCTTTTTTGGTGAATTTATGAGACGGCTTGGCTTTTGTTTTGTTTGCGTTCTATTTCCTCGTTTCGATGTTTTTACGCATTGAAATAAAATGCAATTATTCGCACATAATATAGTGCGTACTTGTTTACGTGCTTGGATCGAAAAGAAAAGAAGAAGCGAGACTGAAATTGAGTGGATTTTTTTACAAATTTGTTCAATGTTATTTTTTTTTTATTCAACAGAGATGAACGTCGTGACTTGAATTATGGTTGGCGCGAACCAGATGAATCGATCTATGGTTTCATGGGACCAAAACGATTGTTTCCAAAATCGGCAACACGACGAGAAGGAGTCGAAAGCAGCGAAGAAGACGATGATTCTAAAGATAGTTCCGAATCACCATTAGGTGTGTATTTACATAAATTAATGCTACGCGTTCATCATGACATGCATAAATGTTATTTTACACATGTCTAATTCGTTGTGACCTTTACTCGTCAATTACATAGGTTTGGATGTTGTGTCAGGAACGATTGGTGAATCGAAGCCAAGCATCAGCGGCGGTGACAGTATCTCATTCAATCGACCAATTGATCCATTTTTTAGTCCATTCTTCAATGTATTCAATCTTGGTTTCCCCGGTTTTGACGTTCCTCAATCGATTCCATGGTGGAGAGGGTAAGTTTTTATATGCATTTGAAAAACTTTTCCATTAAAACTACTTAAGCTGATAAATAGATTATTAGTGAGGCTTTTTTTGTGTTTTCAATTAGTTTATATTTAATGGCAGACATTACTTTATCAAATCGCCTTTTAATGACTTCTCATTGTGTTTTTGAAATTATTGCACTTGATAATCATAATTAGTCGCATATTCCATTGATTGCTTGGAAATTTCTCGTTCTCTTTTAAAATAAATTGGTATGTGCATAAAGTGATTGTGAACACATCATGATGTGCTCCTAATAGCAAAACTTGGCATCTTCAGTTTCTCCGTTTGAAGTGCGCATTTACATCTCTAATTAGCACTTTTAAATATAAAAACCTATGTATGACTGTATCAGTGACACGTTTGACGGTCGTATGTTACAGTCTTTAGCTCATTTTTCACTCATAAAATTGAGTGATTAATGCGAACGAATGTTGAATTGTTTTCAATACATTTCAATATGATATTACAATCACATTTAAATATAAAACATAATCACAAAGAGACAAGAAAATCTTGTTATTTGTTGATTTATCACAAAGTGCAGTTGAGTTTATTAATACAACCTCGACTAGTGAATTTGATTAATTGTCCATGTATGTTAATGTATGAATGATTCGCGCATAATTCAATAGAAAACGTGTGATTTACAAGCGATAATAATATTGTTTGTTAAACAATAAATGAAAAAAAAAAGATCGCCTCCGTATCGAAACGTCTTCATTTGTGTTTTTCACTGTATTTCTTAAAACAATTGACTAACAATGAAAATAGAAAATTTTCACATCGCATACATTATTCAACGACAAGTTACTTTGCGTCTCACTTTTTTTTGCGATATGTTTATTTAGAATAGCGACAAAACCAATACATAAACAATTAGAAATTGCAAGTCGACATGATCGAATGCAAATTCTAAGTTATATTTAACCTTTTCAATCAAAACACCTTTATCGTTTGATTCGAATAAATTCAATTCAATCGAAGACCGGCAAATGTATTTTTACGCAAAATATCACAACAATATCATCGAAAATCGTAGCCTATTTTTAAATTGTTTACTTCCATCGACGTCCATTTGGTAATGGACTTTGTGTTGTGTATTATAATTCAATGGAAAACACGAGCAAAATATTCTTCTCACTATATCGTATTCTCAATTGAAGAATACCGGCGGTGACATTGCAGACATAATAAAATTCAATATTAATAATAGATATGAAACGTGATTTCAATTATGAATTTATTTCATTATTCTGTTTCAGTTCTTTGTTAGCGTTGCCACGTTCCAAAGATAATTCTCTAATAAAAATGCTGAAAACACGACGGTTGATCGAATGTAATCGGACAATCTATTGTTGTAGTGTGATTCGTGCCATCCATACCATTTTATGCGATCTATTCACAATTGTCGTTACTGTTTGCGACTAAATAATAACTCTTTTTGTATACAACTCCGATTTTTCGCACAAATGAAGCAATTAAATAGACAAATGAATTACAAATGATTCATTTACAGTGCCAAATGCAAAACATGCCAACAATTTGCCTTTTGTTAATTGAGTTTTAAATGTTCTATGAAATTATTCAGCATTTATCTCATTTGACACGTTTAGTAACGCCATCAGTTTTTCGTTCTAGAACATTTGATTCGTGCGATTACATTCGCAATTCATTTGGGTCGGAGATCTTTCGTTCTCTCTTTTAGTTCCGAGAAATTGATCTCTTAATCAAAATAAAACTTTTCTAAAAAAAAACAAACAATAAAAAAATACCGTTCTCAACCTCCACGTCTTCATATCGACGCATATTTTGTAAGGCAATCGCTCGTTTTTGCCATAACTGGACACGTCGAATGGTTTCAGTTATCAAAAGAGCAAAAGAGTAATAAAAATAACTGACACTATCAACATTTGATATCACTGTCATGTTTATACAATGTTATTTTTTGAAGAAAAAAAGAAAAGAAAAGAAAAAACAATTTGAAATGTAAAATCGTATGGACATTTATGTATGATAGCTATATAGAATTATAGCTATTCTTTATTAATTAATGCGAATCGATCATTATTATGTTCGTTTCACACTATTTACGGATTAATTATAAGCACATCGACACATGTGATAACGTGTTCTAATTTGTGGAAAAAGTAGTCATTTGCTTCGAAGATCAACATTGATTTCGTTGGTAGGACTGTGCAAAGAGGAAGCAAATCGATTTATGTAAATAAGCTTTATGCATAGAGTGAACACATGTGTTCATTATAGAATTCAATTAACTAATTCAATTACATGCATAAGGCGAATGCGACCATATAGACACAGTTCAAAGTTAAATACAATAATAATTGAATAATGTTTACTTGATAGCCTTGAACTTCAATGCGGATCGTTGCTCAATCGCGCATTTTATACAATTAAACAATTTCCGTTTAAATGGAAATAAAATTAAAATTATTTCTCAAACTTTGTATATCGCAAGCGAATAACATATATTTTCAATTAAACCTTTTTGTTTATATATTTAAAAACAGGCCATTTCGCTTCGGCTTAAACGCTTTATTTTGAGTTTAAAATTAGCTCGATTTCGACTATGCGTTTCATTTCAATGAGTCTCAAGTACAGACAATATATTTGGATTTTGTCATCTGGATACTTTAGCTCATCTGGATAAGGTTAAGCGATGATACGAAATGAAAACAATAGAAGTGATTGTTATAGTTATGGTAGTATTTTTATACCTACAACATACAACAATCACTTCTATTTTTTTCACTCCATATCATCGCTTAACGTTATCCAGATGAGCTGAAATATCCAGATGACAAAATTCAAATATATTGTCTGCTCAAGTAGCATGGTGGACAGAAATCTTTTCAAAAGTGTATTTTTGTAAAATTTGTTGCTTTTTCATGCTCTATGGTGGCTGAATGGCATTCAGTGAATGTATTGTAAAAATGTCCATGCAGACTCTGCATTTTCTTTTTTTTTAAATAATCGCATCATCAAAACAACTGTAAGTCGCACAAATTTCAAGAGGTTAAACCGATGCGAAATCATGATAATTTAATATATGAAAATAATAATACCCTGATTGAAATCAGTATTCTCTCGCTGCTGCTCTACAATTTCTTTAATAGCACAAGCATGGAATTCATTAATAACATTAGCCATAGCAATTAATCAATTATTACTTGGCTCATTCCATGCTCAGCAGCGACCGAATCAAATTGTCTTAATGCACACATTCACAACGATCATGATTTGGTACTTGCGTCTTATTTATGACAAGCTCTGGTGATGGCTTCAATCAGAACCAAAAAAACTCTGTCAGAGAAAATTGCGAAACCCAAAAATTAGCGTAAACACACGAATAATTTATGTAAATATTTATTTGGCCGAAGAAAAAGAGACGCAAATGAAAACAATGAAATGAATGTATATTTTTTTCGGTAAGCAAACGTAAATGAGGAAGATAAATATCGTTGAAAACAGCAAAACAAGCGCTTGGATTTGGTAAGGTTCAGGTGAAATTTGATGCGGGAAAAAAATGCAGCGTTGCCATTTAATGCGATTCTGACGTATGTCAGTGAAAGGTAGCTTCAAAGCTATAATTTTGATAGCAAATAAGTAGGCAACCAGTTCACTAGACAATGTGTTTTTTTCCACCTCGAAAATAAATCAATTCGATGCTGGCACTGATAAAATCCATAAAGTATTCCAATTTATGAAAATGTAGGTTTTTGAAGAAAAACAATTACAAAGAAATGGCGCCAATCGCATTTGTGATCCACAAGAAATTTTATCAATAGTCATTAAATGGCCAAGTGAAAGATAATCACTTTTGGTGTTTGGTGTTTCAAAGTTCAATACCTATTAAAAAATAGAAACCGAAATTTGAATGAACGCTTTCTTCGAAAGTTTTCAAATGAATCGGTATTTGTTTATCGTCTTTCTAAAATGAGAGGTGAGAGAGAGAGAAACAATAGTTGCAGTGAAATCAGGGCATTGACTGATGTGTGAGTCACGCAAACTTCTTATTAATCATCGCGTTGCTATGAAAGTGCATTGAAATAGAAAATTTAATTTGAACAACCGAATTTTAATCTCAACGGCGCGCTTTTCGTTACAATAAGAAGATTATTGTTTTTTTCTTTGAAGCAGAAACTGGTTTGCTTGGGATTTTTTAATGGGCTTTCTATACTTAAATGATTTATATTGTTCAACGGTATCTCGTTGGTAAATAATAATTAATGAAATGAAATGTTCAAGAACCTTCCAGCGTGATAATAAAAAAAACCGCATACACATTCGAACAGCATTCGATTCTTTTGTAATAGCGACATCCATTTGCACTTTGTGAAATGGAAGATAGAAAAAAACACATTTTGCCTAAGATTACAAATTCAAGCTTCAAACGCCATAACGGTTTCTTATTAATGCTCATCGTATTTGCTTTTGTAAAAAAATAAAATTAGCACATTTTATTTATACTTTATTGACAGTTTGTGCACCTTTCAGTGCATTGTACAATATCTAACCAATTTGTGAAGCTAAAAACTATAAACCGCAAACATATTTACAACGCACATTCACATATTGACGACGACAACAACAACAACAGTTGTGGTTTTACAAAGTAGTCGCACCAATAGTGAAATCATTTTCACTTTGTTGCGTTCATTGCCAGAGACATAACTGACGAATGCGATACATTTTTTTTTCAAGCTTTTGTTGTGTTTATACGATGAATTAGCACTGTAATGACTTTCCGTTATGCTATTAAAATTTTGATGTCGGTCTCTCACACAAACAAAATTTTCAACATTGTTTAGAAGATGTGAACAAATTACATTATCTGCTATTTTGGTCTGAGATCTGTATTCAAGATCATCAACCTCTTATGAATTTCAAGCATTGTCTGTAAAATCTTCTTTTTGATCGTATACCACAGAAAATAAATAAAGCCTCTGTTAATTCTGCAGAAAAATGCCAGATTTTTGCATAATTATATCAAGCAAAACAGCTGTTACATCATCATATTGCGAAACAAAAACCATATATTCAAATCGGATTTTTGAAATTGATACCATGCGCTAACTAAATGAATGATTTTTTGTTTTGTTTCTAATTATTTCAGACCCAATGTGTGCACTGAACGTAAGGAAGAAATAAGTGACTGGAACACACCAGCTGCGTCCACCGAAAAAACGGACGAAAGCACCGAAACTCGCGAATCATCATCGACATCGATAACTGGCGGATTCCATTTTAGTTTTAACACTTGTGTCGAAAAGGCCAACAAACGTACCTGCAAAACGGTGTAAGTATATGAAAGAACTGTCTCTTATTATTTCTATTGCAATTTCATTCTTTTTTTAAAAGGTGTAACTGTTTCTTTTGGTTAATTAAAAAAAAAACTGTTATTTGGCATTTTCTTTATTTGCAGTGTCGATGAAGATGGACGCAAAAAGACAAAGTCGGTGACTCAACAATGTTGCCGTGGCTATGGACGCAAAAAGAATTCAAAATCGGCTAACATCTATATGCCATGTGAAGAGCTTCATTTGCGTTCATTGATTGAAACATCAGAACGGTTGAATGGACGTGAATTCATTCGCAGCGCACAAAAGAACGATATCGATGATGAACTTCGCAAAAATGTTACACTTTTCTTACCAAATGATGCCACATTCACTGAATTCGCTGAACAGCTCTTAGAATCGGTATGACACGACTTGGAAATAAGTTTAATTTCAATTTCTTGTATAATTAACACTTTATGTTGTATAGAATCTTGTTGTTCTGCCTGGATCACGTGCACGTCGCCAAGCCTCACCATCTGGCCTAACTACAAAATCAATCATCATGAATCATATTGTGCCCGAAATTGTTAACATCGAAGACGTTGAAAACGAACAATTATTGGTGACTGCGTATGACAACGCCACCATTCGTATGAATATTTTCCCACGTCCACCAGGCCATCGTGAAGAAGACGAAAGCCCATACCGATACACAGCAAACTGTGCACCAATTTCGAAAGCTGACCAGGAAGCGGAAAATGGAATTGTTCATGTTGTTGATCGTGTATTGTTGCCAGTCACAAAGTCTTTGATGGAATTGGTTCGTGAACGCAGTGATATGGCTGTTTTGCAAACAGTTTTGGACCGAACCGATTTGGCAAAACAATTGGAGAACAAGGACAAACAATTCACCTTGTTTGCGCCCACCGATAAAGCATTCGAAAAATTAGATCCACATGTACGACGAACAATTAAAGATGGCAAGGGATGCGCATTGAGTAAGTATAGTGCCGTTGGTAAGGTTCAAAAGAGGTCATTTATTTATTTTCTTTTTTATCAATAGATATTCTTAAGAATCATATTTTGGATATGACATTCTGTTCGGTTGCTGTTGTCGAAGGTGCCAAAACGAGTGCCATTAATACAATGGGCGAGCGCATGGATTTGGAACGTATTGTAACACCAAAAGCATCATCAGAATCACCATCAGAGGCTGAAGATTTGGCCGAAAGCAAAAATATTGTTATCAATGGCAAATCACAAATTACCGAAACTGATATTATGGCTACAAATGGTGTTATGCACATCGTTGACTCGATTTTGGAAACCGATTCATCAATGCCATTAACTTCAATGCTTGAATCACGTAATTTAACTTATTTCAAGACTTTGATTCAATTGAATGGAATTGACGATCTCATCGACTCATATGAAAATGTTTCGGTATTCGCACCAACTGATGCTGCTTTGGAATCGAACGAATGGGTGAAGAAAATCGATTCGGATCCAGACTCATTGAAAGGCAACGAAGAATTAACCAAATTCCTTAAATATCACATCGCAAAACCATTGATCAAAACATGCGATTTGTCTGAACGTTCATTGGACACCGAAAGTGGCGATAAAGTTCGTGTTAATTTGTACTCAACGGTATGTAAAAACTCTGAAAAGAAAACGTCGACTTTTTCTTCAAAACAATAATATTTATTTTTTGCTTTACAAATTACAGCATAGCTTATTCAGTAATGTTTTCAATCGTGCTACGATTAACTGTGCTCGTTTGGTACATTTTGATGATGATAGCTGTGGATCGGTTTTGCATCAAGTTGATAAACCATTGACTCCACCAACCAGCAATTTGATGGAAGCACTCAAAGCAAATGAACAATATAGCATGTTTGTCGAATTTATTGAGTCAGCAAATCTTACCTCGTTGTTGGAGAATGAAAATGGTACATTGACCGTATTGGTGCCAAAGAACGACGTTTTCACTGAAGTCAAGGAATATTTCGACGAACTTAGAAATGATGGCAACACAAAGAAATTGGAAAACCTCGTCAAATCGCACATCATCGAAGGTAAGTTACATTTAATAATATTGGGGTGCAATTGATAATTCAAATGTTATTCTTTAGATGTACTTTGCTGTGCTGGTATTGTTTCATCGGAATGGCCATTCGTTCGACTTGTGAAGACCATCAATGATGTTGATTTGCGATTGAACCGCGATCGAAGACCAAAGATCCAAAATGCCGGCGTTACAAAATGCGATATCCTCGCAAAGAATGGCATCATTCATGAAATTAACGATGTGATCAATCCAAAGCAACTTCAACGCGCTCCCGCTAGACGCACCGAAAGTGACAGTCACAGCCATGAATCTCCATACTTACCTCTTGTTCCAAAGACACCATTTCACGATTTCTTTACTTTCCGCTGATTAAGCAAAAGCCTATGTTGTGCACACATACAGCCAATTTAACTGACAATAAACAAACTACTCAAATATTTAAATGAAAAATCAATTACAATTAAGACAATTTGATACATCATAAGAAATGACAGAACGAAATTGATATAAACGTCTCAAATAAAGTAATATAATTTAAATGTGTGTCTTTTATTTGAAGATTTTCCTTTATCTAGGAATTATTGTAATAGACGTAATAATAACCATGAAAATATGACTTTCTGTAGATTTGAGGAAATTTATTTTTATACCATGGCTTCTGCGATGTGCGATTTTCAGTCTAATATTTTATATCAATGAAATATTTCCACAAATTATATTTATAGATTTAGAAGAGTTTGCGATTGCACTGAAGCATATTTACGTATATCTCCTCTACCCAAAAAACATTTGTTGTGGCAAATTCATCCATTATCGGGCATATGTTGACGGTCAATATTGGGGTCGGGTTTGAGTGTAGTTTCAGTCATTTTCAACGTCGCAATGGAAAGAAAAAAGAGAAAAAATAAACTCAGTTAGTAAGTATGAATCAACATCAATATACTATCGGTTCAGTTCAATAAATGATACTCACCTACGGGTTATTTTATATACCGAACTGCCCGTACTTCGGTCAAGGCCACAAAACTCAAGCCCAGCATAGTAACAAAACGTTACAATAATATTATTTAAAAAGAAATCTTAATGCTACATGTAATTAAAACTGGTCGTCATCGGAAACATCGAGAACATAAACGTAGTCCTCATCGTCACTGGAATCCTCATCGTCAGCTGCTTGATTTTGTACGGCAGCATTTTGATTCTGTGGTCTCAATAGTTGCGGATGAATGTCCAATCCCAACACCGTACAAAGACCTAAAAACAAAATCGTAAACAACAAATTGTTAGCCAAAACATTCTTAAACATTTTTAATTTCAGTGATATTTTTTCACCTTTGTACATGATGTTCTTGGCTGCAACGATATCCCGGTGCCAAACAGTTTTCAATTGAAATGGAGCTCGATCATCTTTCCAAATGCCAGTGTTTAGTTGCCAGTTTTTGAAACATACTTGAAGTTTTGACACTAAACCATCTGAATCCACTGGAATATGATCTGGGTTGGCTGCATTCAATCGATTAACAAAATCAACTGCATATTTACGCAATTGTTGGTACACTCGGTTGCTTTTCATGGTGATAATCACGTTCGGTAAATTCCATTGCGATGTCTCATCTTCACTTGGAATACAATGCTGACAAACTTTGTATCGATCGCTTTTGGTTCGTCGATCGAATGGCCGGAAACATTTTGCACAAGTTTGCGATGTATTGTATTCGTCGACCAATCGTACAATACAATTTCCCAACTTCTTGAAACTGTTCAATAGTCGTCGTAATCCCGGGCATCGCAATCGCTTTTTAATACCAATTGGTGAGTTTGGAGCTATTTGAGCTGCACCAATAAAAACGAGCGCCGACTTTTTTTCGTCAGTGATGCCGCGATTTTGTCACTGGCCCGATTCTCTTCGATGTATTTATCGAGACGGAGTCGAATAAACTTTCTTGTTGTGTACACCGCCATAGCTGGTTTCATCATTTTCACATAATAAGCGATGTAACACATCCAATGTGAACGTCCTTTCGGCGATGGAAAAAATGCATAGCGTTTATAGTCGAGCTCCCGTTGTTTTTGCAACAATTCAGTCCATTGATCGAATTTACGCTTGCGTTTGCCATATTTCGCTTTGAAATGGTATTTTGGACCATCAATTGTGATGTTTTCCTGAGATTTACGAACAAAAAATCATAGAAGTAAACAAATGATAAATAAACAATGAATTTATTGTTTCTTACCTCGTTGCCGGATCGAACGTGTTTGCGAACGGTGGCGTTCCATGTACGAACTCCTGGATCGATTCCAAGCACATAATCAAACTCAAAATTATTGTACTTCTCTTTGATGGTGTTGTTATCAAGTTCTGGTGTATTGCGTTCAGGCTTCACGAAACATAACGAAACTGCCACACTATCGGTTGCCACAGCAAAATCGAATTCCTTACCATTTCCAAGTTTCGAAATTTTTGGCAGGTCAAATATTAAATCCCAATAGATAGCTGGATTGCTATCGTATTCAGTTTTTTCAATGTTTATTGGCTGACCGCGTTTTCCTTTTGCCAATTTCAATGCTCCAAATTTGCTCGCAATTGAATAAAAAAGATGGATATCGATGCGGATATGTTTCATATCGAAATCGTGGACTGGAATTACTAAGAAATTTTTTATTTTTGGCGGGAGTGGAGTGGTCGGCATGACATTATTGTTCGGATCGCGTCGATAATGGAACCAGCGTTGTTTCAACATTTCATATTTTGCGTGAAAATCGAAAATTTGTCGCTGAATGTTTATAAATATTGGGATGGTTTGGAACCAGCGATCACGAATGAGATTCTGGAAGTGTACATTGATTGGCAATCCAATGCCTACTGCTTCGTTTAATAGAAGATCGATGTTCGCGTTTCTCTCGACTCTACTCTGGAACATTACGATCTTCGTCGCACGTTTTACATCCAATTCAGTGATGAGATTTCCTTGTCGATTCAAATTCAGTTCGTAGCGCTTTAGCGTGAAAAATTTCTTGATGCGACTGAATGCCCATACTCTGATGTTATTTTTCACGTTTGTTATGTACTGAGTGATGAGATGATTGAATGCATTCCCCATGCCCTCGCGAGCTGGCCAATTTTCTGGACGAAGAAAATCAGGACATGCTTGCTCCACAGTTCGTCGAAATGCAAGCGGTAATTTGTGGTAATTTTCTTGTAATACCGAGGTGAAACATTCACCAATTACACCATTCACGTATTTATTGAATTCATCATTCGTGTATTCATCGGATTCACCTTTAAAAAATCGAACATTTTCATCGTCAAAGGCTTTGTTTGCTTTGAACAAGAACAGTAATGACGCCAGAGTCGTAATCATTGTGGCCGAAAGGCACCAGTATGTGACCTGATCGATGAATGGCGCACGATACTCTTCCCGCAGCACTTGATTTAGAGTCATCTTCAACGACGCACTGCGCCCATTCTTGGCTCTCTTTCTTCTCATCGTGACAGATCTATTGTACAAAAATTAAAGAAAAAAATACACCAAATATAGCAAAGATCACAAACACAATGAGATATAAACACTTCTATCACAAATTAAATGAAACAGTAATGGAGAACGCATTATAAATATCACCTCTTACCTCAACAAAGTGACTCTGTATTCTAGATCGAATGATGAAATTTATTTCCAATGTGACATCAAATATTTTGCCGATCGAAATGTTGTTGGAATATTCACAGTTAATTTTATCAACACTCTGTTATTTCGAAATTAAAACAAAGACAGTCACAAAACCAACTGTGAATATATCCATTCCACAGGGAACAGCATTCCAAACACATAAAATCGTTTTTGAAATGACAATAAAACCAATTGATCGCCCAAACCACGCTTCAAACACTCTCATATAATTCTCAAGAAATCCTGTTGAAAACAAAGCAAAGTTTTATTGTAAACAAAATCGGTTGGTGCGATAGTTGTTTATACCAACTATTGTTAGTATAAGATGCGAGCACATTTCAATTCAAGAGATCTTGGGTAGTCAAAGTCATTCACACGTTGAAAACATTCAATACCAACGGGATATGAAAGCAACTAGCTACTTTACATGTATCTCCTCTATGGTCTAGTGGCTAGGATATCTCGCTTTCACCGAGAAGGCCCGGGTTCGATTCCCGGTAGGGGAATTATTTTTTTTCGCTTTTTAAATTCAATTCTAAAATCATTTCATATTGATGTGGACTTTGACCAAGTTTCAGTTTTGAGAATTGTATTTGATTTTTTGAATATTTTTCATCATAACATTTTTAAATATCAAAATATAGGTGTCAGTAGGTTTGAACTGCAGTAGCTAGTTATAGTATAAGTCATTTGTCTTGTTATTGATTTTAGAAAAAGTTAAGTTTAAATAAAAATTATTTATTATTTTGTAATTTTTTTCATTTTTTTCATTTAATTTAATTTATTGTAATTAAAATAAATTTCATTTTAGCCATAATTCTGTGTGCTTGGATAAATTCGATTCGAAAGTGGTGCCATCAATATGTGTCACGGTAGCCCGAATCCGCGTGAAGTTGGTTACATCGAATTCGTGTTTCAATCGTAGTCAAGTTGCCATTCTGTGCAGCCATTCGTTCTGTTCCTTCCAAGCGTTCAATGTAAGTAGACGTATTTCTCTTTGTCTCTTCAATATTTGAGAAAAAAAAAAGAAAAAATTTATCAAACAATAAAAAGTCATCCGGCATAAAAATTCGTGCAATTAAATAAAACTTGCGTTAAATAACTAGAAAAAACCGTTTATTTGGCATAAATTGGCATAAAATCCATTGCATATCGTATATTTTTTTTGTTTGAGAAAAAAGAGAGAATTTTTTTTCTTTGTGTGAAAGTGTCTGAATTCAAGATGGAGGTCAAAAAGGAATTAATAAGTACGCCATTACCACAACGTAATACAAATGCTACAAATGGTCCGGCCGCACCACAAAATGTGGCAGCAAAACCACAGCAAACTGGTAATCAACCGCAAGCAAATAAAAATGTCCAAAATGCAACTCCAGCTGGAAATCAGAATGCACAAGGAAATCAGAATAATGTTGATAAAAAGCCAAATTTCATCAAAAATAATAATAATCAGAACAATATGGGCGGCGGTAATGTGAACAACAAGCGCAATAATAATAATAACAATAATAATAATAATAATCAGCGTTTCGGCAACAACCGTAATAATAATAATAATAATCGAGGCGGCCGTGGTCGTAATGATGTAAGTCATTTTTTCTCACATAAAATTTCAGTAGTTAGATTTGAGTTTCGAGTTTCAAAATTTTTGCTCAAAAATTTATGAATGTAAATTGATTGATTGAATGCCTTATCGCCACGCTTCCGTTGAAAATTTAACCAATCAACGATGTGAAGTGCCAGAAAGACAGAAGAAAACGTGGTTCACACGTTCTTTTCTTGTTGTTGTTTTAAATAAGGCAAAGTGATTCGCTTTGGATAGGAAGCTCCATAAAATTGTTCAATATTTATAAGGAGTGCCATGAAAAAGCTACAACTTTTTTTTTCATTTTACAATTTTTCCGATTATTTTCGAACATAAAAGTTCATGTTCTTTTTTCTTTCTTTTTTTTGCGTTTTCATTTACTCAATTTTGGCAATGTGGTTATCGTTCCGAACATGATCCGCCATCTTGGATTCTTTAAATTCGGTGTGACATACGAACACGTTCACGGTATGCATACCGAACATTTCAGAGATCAAACTCCAGAATGCGAAGAAATGTATGCGATACAAGTAGAAAATAGATGCACTTTATTTAAGTTTTTTTTTGCCATCGTCAATTTTTTCTAATTTTTTTTTCCGGTGATGTATATTATTCAGAATTTTGATCGTCGTGGACCAAATCAACAACAGAATCAAAATCAAGGTGGAACCGATAATCAGGACGAAAATGGCCCAAATGTTAACCAAAATTCGGCTGACAATACCAATACCCAAGGCAATCAAGGCAATCAAGGCCATCAGGGACATCAAGGTAATCAAGGACACCAGGGCAACCAAAACCACCAAGGTAATCATGATGGTGGCCGTCGCTTTGGAAATGATAACGATGGTGGTCGACGATTCGGAAATCGTGATGATCGTGGCCGCAAAGGTGAAGATTTTATGATTCAACAAAGATTGAAACACCTTCAAGGGCCAACACACGAATTGCCACCGGTCGAATATCAAGAGGTTAAATTTTCCGGCCGCAATCGTTTGTATGTCGGAAATTTGCCACAAGATGTAAAAGAAGAAGATTTACGTGAATGGTTCAAGCCATTCGGTGAAATTAACGAAGCATTCGTTAATAATGAGAAGAATTTTGCATTCTTAAAAGTCGATTATCATGCAAATGCTGAACGAGCCAAACGTGAACTGGACGGCAGCTTACAGAAAAATCGTCCAATTCGTATTCGATTCGCACCAAATGCAACCACCATTCGTGTGAAAAATCTAACGCCATTCGTTTCCAACGAATTACTTCACAAATCATTCGAAGTTTTTGGGCCGGTAAGTTTAAAACTTATATATTTTTTTCAAATTATAAATCTATTGCTGACCCTTTTCGCCACGCTTCGATCGAAATCACTCATTCGTTGCGAAGTGCCAAAAACAAAAGTTTTTAAATACAAAAACAAAGGAAGACTAAAATGCTTTGGATATAGGAAGCTCCATAAAATAAATCAGTTTTTATAAGGAGTGCCAAGAAGAAGCGACATTTCATTCCGAAATAATATAAATTTGAGAGCTCATTACAAAAACAAAATGTTCAACATGTGCTTTTTGCCGTAGCACGTGGTTTACGGTTCTCTCTGGATCACGCACCTTGATGAGTTTTAATGTCATTTCAAGTGCGACTTTTTTAGGCAGAGACAGATTAAACTTGCACTATAATTAGGAAATCAATTTTATATTTTCATATAAATTTGATGTCGAAATAAGTGTTACAAATTACAACATGTTGAACAATTAATTGAGTTTTTTCCCCATTTTTATTTGTTCATAAAAAATGCTTTGGAAAATACAAAATCCTGATGATTTATTTCAAATTTTGCCATAGGTTGAACGTGCTGTTATTGTCGTTGATGATCGTGGAAAGCCAACTGGCGAAGGAATTGTTGAATATACTCGTAAGTCGGGTGCAATGATTGCTTTGCGTTATTGTGGCGACAAGTGCTATTTCCTCACATCGTCGCTCCGTCCGTGTGTTGTTGAACTGTTTGAGCACAGTGACGATACCGATGGTTATCCAGAAAAAGCTTTGAATCGTAAAACTGATGCCTATATGAATTCACGTCAATATGGGCCACGATTTGCCGAACAAAATTCATTTGAACACGAATACGGTACACGCTGGAAGAATTTACATGAATTGTACAAACAAAAATACGAGGCACTCAAACGTGAAATGTTGCTCGATGAAGAGAAATTAGAGGCACAAATGGAATATGCACGCTACGAACATGAAACTGAAATGTTGCGAGAGCAATTACGTGCCCGTGAAATGGACAGAGAAAATCGCAAGACCGAATGGGAAAAAAAGGAACGTTTTGCAGAGCAACAACGCAAAGATACCGAGGACCAAATGCGTCGACGAGAGGATGACATGAACATGCGAATCACTCGTCAAGACGATGAACTAAGACGAAGACAACAAGAAAACAATTTATTTATGCAGGTATGCAAAAGGAAAATTATTTAATTCTTACATGTTTAAATGAAATTGCTTAAATGATGAAAAAAATTGGTCCGTGTTTATGAATTTATTTGATTTTAACCTCAACCACATCTGATCTTTTTATTACAACCTAAAAGTCACTTATATTCAATTTTGACATTTCATTTGATTGATATATTTTCGTTTGTATCGATTCCAGGCACAACAGCTAATGATGGATGCACAAGATTTGAATCAAGGCAACGTTGTCACCAATGATCTCAATAATCTGAATAACCTTACTAACATCAACAATCTCAATAACTTGGGAGGCGGGGGTGGTAGCAACAATAACGGCAGTGGTGGTAGCGGTGGCGGCGGCGGCGGTCGCAAGAATTTCAACAACAATCGCAATTTTGGTGGTGGAAACAACCAGGTTAGTGACGCTTTTTTTACTCATATTTTTCTTCAATCTAAAAATCAGTTTATACATTTGAAAACAACATCTGATATATACTTCGAACTTGCAACATTTTGCAAAAAAAACATCTTACTCTCACAAACACTTGAATGAAATGAAATATAAGCATTGTACTGCAATTTCAATAGCCTTGCAGCTCATTCCCATTCACTTGATAAAAAGTCAAAGAATATTTACTATTTCAATTTAAAAAAAAAACCACTTATGGAAGGAACTCTATACATTTTCGTTGATTACAGTCAACAAATTTAAATTGAGCTCAACCTGGAATTGCATCATCTTATTGATGAACACTATTTTTCGAAATGACATTCTCATAATATATTTTACCCAAGTTTGGTTCATTTTTTGATCATATAAAGGAAACAATATCAATGTGAAGTTACATACAATGACGTTTATTATCAATTTTATATTTTACACTCAAAACAAATCTATTCTGGTGAATAAAAAAAACAATAGACTGGAAAATGAATTGAAAAAAACTATCTGCATTCAGACTACAATTTAGAGTGTTATTTTGTGAACACCGAAAAAACAACAACAATAGTTCTAGGAACAATTCAAACATGATGAAATCACACATAAGTTCATGAATGAACTACTCAAAATATATATGTACTGTATATTATCAACATTTTTTTTATCGTATGAATGAGGAGACGAAAGTTTGTCTGGTTGCAAGTCATTCGATGTGCGTGGAAACGATTTCTGGCCAAAATTGTTTTTTATGCAATCGATATGAAGCCTTGCACCACAACTTCATCTTTCTCTCTCCCTCTGTCTCTCTCAACAAAAACACTGACAATTATGAATGAAGCAGCGACATGTTAGGTTATTTAAATACTCGATCATTATTTATGAAAAAAATATTGAAAAAATGTCTCATAAAACGAATTCAACTATAATGTAAACATATGGCATATGGTCAAAAACAAAAACAACACTTATACTTAAAACGTCGACTCGATTTATATTTACTCAATGATATGCTTTGGATTTATACACTTGAAAGAATGAAATTGCTATACGAAATGCAATTGCACAACTCTATATTATGTATGCGTATCACATGTAAAATACTCTCTACCTCAAAATAAATTCAATGAATTCTTGTCAAGTAAACTACCTATGAAACTGAAAGCATGATATGCTTTAACTGTTTTGAAACAAAATATAAAAATATGTAACTCCCATATACACCACGTCGACTATAACACCCATTCATATTATGAATGTCGTAATACAAATTATTGATGAATGACGAGTTTGCTGAAACTCTATACTACATATAAATTGATAATAAACCGAGCGAAACTCACTTGAATTGTTTCGATTGACATCGAATGGAAAAAATTAGCATTAAAATAAAATGGTCAATCATTTGACGAATTTTAACTATTTTGATATAATACATCTCCAAAAACCAAATCGAAAAGAACCAAACTTAAATTCCGTAAAAAAAACACTTGCCTACATTTCAATGTAGTGCCGAAAACCTTCAATACTACACTATTTTTTCAATGTTCCTTCACAATTTCAATCGAATTTCCCCTAAATGTTATTCCGTAATGAAAAATAAATTAGTTGAAATGATTTAAGAAAAAAAAATGGAAAATCCCCAAACAATCTATTCTTAACCAAAAACAAATACTTCAAATAAAATCATAGGATCCAGGATTTATGGATAATCGCAATAATGGTGGAAACAACAACCAAAATCAAAATCATCAAAATAATAATCAGCGTGGCAACCGATTTAATGACGATTTCAATCAAAACAAAGGTGGTCGTAACCAGGGCCAAGGTAATAATAACATGGGAAATCGCCGAAACAACAACAACAACAACAATATGCAGCAGTGGAACGACCATCGCAACAACGATGGCTTCCAAAATAAACGACGTCGCTTTTAAGACTCAAACATATACACCCACACACACGCATGATATCGCTGACTGGTTGAAATTTATTCAACTAACCAATTTTAGTAAAATCGACAATTAACAATTTAGTAGAATCGAGAAATTCTATCTGCGCCGATATATGCCAATTTAATTATGATGAAAAAAAAAAACAAATCGTATGGCAACCCTCTATTTCCTGCATTGTCTATCGTATGAAACATCCACAATGGATGTGTGCAATTTACTCTCTCAAATGAAACATTTGACGCCGACTGAAATCATTTTCGGCCACACAAACACACACACAAAACACCTATGTATGCAATGTTTCAGACACTTATCATATGTTTGAATTTAAATTAACATGAATTAGAAGTGGCAGCAACATTGCTGTAGCATATATATACTACATATAAACTTTAAAATATTTGAGATCTATTTGTATCGCGTATCATCATTTCCATGTACAATTTATGATATTAGTTTTATTTCATTCACTTTTTTTTGCTAATAATATTTGGCATTAAATTTATTATTTTAGTTTGTTATAAAAGTATTAAAAAACATTAAATCCATCTAACATATACATACATTCTCAGTAGAATATTGAAAGCGTCTTTTTTTGCGGCTAGAAAAAGTGACTCGATGATGAAGAGATTTTTTTTTCGTAATTTAAAAGATTATTATTTCTTTCTAGCATTGTGATTAACGTTTTAATTTTCTCTTAGCTTTGATTTCGCGTTTTTTGGTTATCATGAATCTCTTCGACTACAAAAAAAACAACTACCATACAATTTCATACTTGATAACCCATGGGTTGCATTCGATTACCAAAAAAAATATATCATCAACTATATTTTTCTAAATTAATATTTTTTAAATTTTATTTCCTTATCAAACACAAAAAAAAAGAACAACGTAACGAATAAGTTTGAGATAAAAAAATCCTTTTATTGTAGGTAGCTTAAATAATCCCAAAATGGATTGATGTAAATCCAAAACAAAATATTTGTCTATGCGTATACTCGATTGTCTCTTATGCGTAATATTGATAGACTCGAACAAAACCTGATCTTGTGTGATCAATAAAAAGTAATCTGACTTTTAATACACATCAATCATATTTGATTTTTTCCATGTGAATAGACTTAAGGTATTGAACAAAAAAAAAAAACAACACTTCAACGCTAGTGAAATTGACTTTATACTAGATATAGTCGCTTAAATTACTAAAACTTGGTGGTATCTAGAAAAAGTGACGAAGAAAAAAAAAACAAATCAAATATCAATTAAAATATGTTCTATGTAAAACAATCGATTTTGATGATATAATAAACATTCACAAATTTCATTGAAATCATTCTGACTTTGGTACATTCTCGACATACGATTCGCAACAATTGAATGTTGTTCGTGCGAATTGTATAAAAAGATTATTATTCTTCTCAATGTTGATGATGGGAAGCCTCTTAGTGTGGCTCAAAATGAGCGATTTTTAATGCAAAATTATTGGTCGTCATTATTTTTATTGATGACGAGTATAATACCAAGAAAATGAACGGAAAAGACAGAAGCATGGCATAGATACGGGCACTAGGAGGCTTCTATTTCACAAAACAATTTCTCTTTACAGCTCAAGATTATTTTTTTTTTAAAATCAACATACGTATGTCCATTTTGGGCATACCTCTCAATCAACAATACTACTCATGACTTACATCAATCGGATGAACTGTTGTGGTTCTAACATGCGTTCGATGATAACACTATTCTCACGATATACTCGGATATACTCGTATAAACCCATCTCTTATGCGAAATATCGATAGACTCGAACAAAACCCGATCTTGTGTGATCTTTATACTACATATAGTCGCTTAAATTACTAAAACTTGATGGTATCTAGAAAAAGTGACGAGAAAATAAAACAAATCAAATATCAATTAAAATATGTTCTTTGTAAAACCATCGATTTTGATGACATAATAAAAAATCACAGATTTCATTGAAA